CCCCCCCCCCCCCCCGGTGCATCTCGCCAGTTTATATGGATCATCTGCGCCGTATACCATACAGATACAGATCAAATTCAATTTAAAAATTTGAGTTCATGTTTCATCATTTTTCGAGGTAGTTACCTTCGATTGAGCTCTATACTAAGTTTTCCTTTTTCCTTTTTGGCAAAGTCAAAGTTCCATTTAATCCTAGTTATTATAAACCAATAAAAAACCCAGAAACCAATGTTCGCTTAAGATCATAAAGTGGCACATAACTAGAACTAATATTAATACCGGCTCTGACGCAATATGAAATGGCTCGTCGTCAGAACCCACTCTACTATTGCAGCTAGCACGTACAGTAACAGTAACTTACAACTCTCTTTATAATGTAAAAGGATCTCAAAAAAAGTCTTTATTAGTGTAGCAGAACTAGACTGGCTCGATTGTCAGCGACCAGGTAGCTCAATTGGTAGAGCCTTCATCTAGAGTTTGGAGGGTGTTGCCATGCATTTTCCCACTCCTGTTACACTGTACATTTGGTGCCTGTGATCACCAACCCTTGTTTCAAGTGCAAGTTTAATGCTTGACAAGGAGATATCTGGACCTGGGAATGTAGTGGAACTAGACTGGGTCGATCATCGGCGACCAGGTAGCTCAATTGGTTAGAGCGTCTGTCTAAGAGTTTGGAGGGTCCCAGGTTTGAACCCCAGTGTTGCATGCATTTTTTTGCTCCTGTTACAATAGTATAGTATTTCAAGGACTATTCAATATTACATGTAGCTTGACATTTAGCTTGTTGTACCAGAGCAAATAATTAATATGACATGTTTTATGTGACACAGGGATAGACCTAGAAGAGTCAGATGGACTGCATCCTGAAGATGTTGAAAGCGAGCAGTTGTATCCAGAACATATCCAAACTACAAGCTTCCAAAAGGTTCTCCTCACTGTGGGTTCCGCTGCCATGTGTTTATACAACCCTGCACGTGATGGTCAGTTTCGTTTATCCTCGAGAATCCTTATAGATTACTGCATAATATCAGTTTTAAATATACAAATCTTTGTCGAGCTCTGAACAAATCTGTTCAGTAGCACTCTTCACATGAAAACTGCTCAGCAAAGCAAATCATAATCTACACACTGACCATGATTTTTGTATTTGGGCTTTAATTCATTTTCACACTTCTGTTAAGTACCATGTATATGGTGTCTATATCGCAGTCTAGTACAACAGTTTGACAGTTCAACAAAAATGTAAGTTGCATATATACTTTTATTGTGATATAAATTTGCTTTCAGACATGGTAGCCACACTTGGTGAGGTGAGTGGCGCATGGGCCATTAGGAAGATGAAGGAGAAGATGGAGGAAGACCCTGTGGGGAGCCTCATCTTAAAGTAGGTTTGCACTAATATATACTGTATATTAGTACAAATAATGGGACACCGTTTATAAAAAAAACTGGTTACAACAAGTATGGACCTGGAGGTGGATCTTTTGGGAGCAGGTTTATAATAATGTATAATGCTAAGCATGAACTTACAAGTATAGCAGTAATAATAGACTGCATTGCAGTTTATATTCAAAGTCACTTTTAGCATGTCATATAACTGCACAGATCAAACTTTTGCAGTCAAAATAGTGAAAATATCATTGCCACGAAAATAACCAGCTACATGTATATATTGTACATGATCTGTATTGTGATGTGAAGGACGACATGTCGCTTTGTTGTTAATAGGCTTGTGTAATAAATCTTATCTTAATGGTAACGAGGCATCACAAGAAACAACAAAGCATCACAAGTGATACAAATCCCCTCGCATTCACACATTGTGACATATGTAAGAGGAAATGAAGTCGCCAGAGCGATAGCAAAGTTTTTCTAAAAATAGCAACAGTGACCTTGACCTGAATGTAGTACCCTGAAAAGCAAAAATTTTCAAGGTATTGTCATACCAACCACTGGTATCAAATTTCATGAAATTCTGTTGAGGAATCAGGTCGGTAGAGCGATGTCAAAGTTTTTTTTCTAAAATAAGTAATAGTGACCTTGACCTATAACATAGAAACCTGAAACGCAAACTTGTTCAAGGCAATTTGCCGTACAAATACTTGTATGAAGATTCATGGAATTCTGTTCTGTAATGAAGTTGCTAGAGTGATAATAAAGTTTTTTTCCAAATCGGTCACAGTGACCTTGACCTTCAATGTAGAAACCTGAAACGCAAACTTGTTCAAGGCATTTCCGTACAAAACACTTGTATGAAGTTTCGTGAAATTCCGTTGCGGAATAAACGTCGCTAGAGCGATGACAAAAGTTTTTCTAAAAATAGTAGCAGTGACCTTGACCTTCAACGTAGAAACCGGAAATGCAAATTTGTTTCAGGTATTGTCATACCAAACACTGGTAACAAGTTTCATGAAATTCCGTTGAAGAATGAAGTCACTAGAGCGATGTCAAAGAATGTTAACATGTTACGTACGTACATACAGGCGGAATCCTATCAAACTTTCATTGTGAGGGGATAATAACAATCAGTGGACATGTTCACAAATCAAGTTAAAGCTATATATATCGTAAAATGAATATGTGACTTAAGTATTTACAGTCTTTATTTTGTATTTTGCTTTATGATAATTACAGTTTCTGTATGATGTACCGTTATGTACGTTTTTCTAGGGAACAGCCTGTCATCAACACAAATACAGTGTCTATAGAATACCTGGGCAGTCTTCCTGAGGGCACATTTGGAAAAGAGTACTGGAAATTCCTATGCAAAAATGTAAGAGAATTATATAGTACATTGTTACTATGTGTTGATAATTTAGTGTGCCAAGTGAAGTTTATATGGTGATACGTTTAGTTTGATGGTTTTACACAATATAGCATTAGTTGAATGTGTTAAAAGTTTTATTGTGTTAAATGTGAAAGTGTTGGCTTACTTTCAGTTTAAAAATACGTTAACTGGAGGATTCAAACTCACTTGTTATACATTGAGTCAAAGTGAATGCTCCATAGCAGAGGGTGGTCCAACATTGTTCTGCATGTTAGTTTTGTTTACAAATTCAATTGTTTGTTTATTTTTATGTTAGGGCTTTTCCCCAGATTCTCGCCTGCCTATTCAATTTGTTGACGACCCTGACCTAAAGTATGTGATGCTGCGCTACCGCCAAACCCACGACCTGTACCACGCTGTGCTGGGCATGAAGCCTAACATGCTAGGAGAGGTTGCAGTAAAGTGGGTGGAGGCCTTCCAGACTGGACTGCCTATGTGTGCCTTGGGGGCAGTGTTTGGTCCCCTTCGTCTTGGCCCTGTGTAAGCAATTGTTCTGTATTGTGTGTTTGATCCATCTCTAGGTACAATTGATTTGTTTTTAGGGTTTTTTTTGGGAGGAGGAGGAGGGGGGTTCAGGTGTTTATCTTTTACTGTAAGGTGTTTGTTTTCCGATCTTTGCTCATTGTAAGCTTTGCTGTTATAAGAGGTACCGGTATACAGTCCCATGAAAGAAAAAAGATTTATGGTGTTTAATATATTTAATGGCAAAATGACTAAAATTGTGATGGTTTGAGGACCTTTTATTCAACAGCATTTATTTGAAACAAACTGTCAGCGTACATAAATGTTGTAACAAAATGGGCTGTCAATTAGGTACATTTGTAATTAATGATCAAGAGTGGAACCATCATATAACTTGTAAGATAGTAGTGGTTATTAATAGAGAGCAGCACTTTGGTCAAAAGTACATTTGAGGTCAAATCTTTCGATTTAGTACATTTAAGGTCAAATCTTTCGATTTAGGTAACACAGTGCATTGATTGACAAAGGATTGTGGAATTGTAGATAGTGCCATAGGGCTATCCACCTAGTGGCGACGAGGTCAGTCAATCATGACATAGAGATAGAAACATGAGTGAGAACTCACCAAAACAGACAGGGTAACCGTCATTGCCATATGGTACATCTAGTATTGTTGTTTTGGAAGGGGAAAGTCAGCTTAGAAGTTAGATTAGAAGTAAGATTAAATTGCTGCATGTGCCTCATTACTTATGTACAATAGGTGTGACCTACTCATGAATAATGAATTTTGTATAGATTGATAATAGATAGAGCCAAAAGACGGGGATTCGAGGTTCGAAATGCGAGCCTCAGGAGATAGGCCAGGGAAGGCCTGGGCACAGCAATTGGTTTACTTTAGAGCTATGTGTTTGATATTGTAACTCTATAGAAGCTGTATGCAAGTAGATTTGCTTTCGTGTTCTAGAACTGTGTTAAAAGGACATTTGTTTAATTTAAGAGAGATCTTACAAAGAGGGCCTACTCAAGGTATGGCCCTGACTGTCGCGGCCACAACAATAAAGATAATAAAGCAATAAGTCAACGTGTGTTGTAAGTGTGTAATGTAACAATGTAGCATATCAGATCCATCAATAATTGTTCATGAGTTTTTGCATCTCGTTAGCATTACATGTGTATCCTTTGTCAGAAAACCAAAATTATGTATTACCAGAGTGTGGCTATGTTTTAATGCATCATGATTCAAAATGGGTTTTGAATGTTTTGCAGACACCAGAAGAAATATTTGGAAATGTATCTTTCCTGGGCCATACGGACAGGAAGGGATGCCAAGTTCCTAATGGCTGTATACTGGGAGAAGGAATGGGAGAAAGATCTAGATCAGCTCAGGACGGAGCTCAACATAGAGCCACCCCCAGTCCTCAAATAACATTTGTCCTCATCTATATGACTTTTCATCTTTTAATTTATTCTAAATGTTCTTAATGTTTTGTGGACTGAAGTTGTTATCACTTTAGTGAAGTGTCAATTTACTGTAAAAAAACAGATTTAAATTCATTTGTTAGCAAGTATAAGGACTCAGTGTGCCACCTTTTACAGCAGTCAGAAGTAATAAACTTCAGTTATCAAATATTATCAGGTTACAAAATCTTATTATACCCATCAGCCAATCAGAATTGAGAAATGTGCACGACACCTCATAATAATAACATTGATCTCATTCCTGTAGAATAGCAGGACTGAAAACAAGCATGGTGCCATACGTGTATACAATTTGAACACATGTGGTGAAATTTGAGACCTTATAAAATGTATTGTTCTCTATCAACTTAAGACATGTATGTGTTAAGTTTTAAATAAAATCATCTTTATTTACCAGTACCTTGATGTTTCCCTTATAGATACAGCTGTGGGATCAAACAACGTTACAAAATGTGCAGTGTGTGCACGATTGAAATCTGTGATAATAGTGTGTGCACGATAGGTATCGTGGTTGTACGTACGAGATTTAGGAGTGTTTCATAAATCTCAGGAAATGGAAATTCATATAAAATCAAGTGTTTGCCATACACTTTTTGATGATCAATATGAAAATATTAACACAAAAATTGATAAAATATTTTATTCAGCAATAAGCAAGTTTATCTGAATAAGAAAAAGAAGTATAATTAACAAGAGGCCCAATGGGTCTGCATCGCTCACCTGGTATAAATCTCACACTTGTAACCTTAAAAGTGATCAAAAATAAAGCTACAAGCGAAATATCAGTATTTATGATTAAAATTCATTCAAAAAAAACCTTTTTTTTTTTTTTTAAACATTCCACCCCTGTGATTGAAAGTCGAACAAAGTCATTATGTTGAACAAATTTTATAGCCTTTCATCTCGGGATGCAATTTGCAAAGTATCAACATCCTGGGACCCATGGTTATTCAGAAGAGGTTGTTTAAAGATTTTTAACAAATTTGACTCCTGTGACCTTGAATATAAGTCAAAGTCATTCACTTTAACAAACATAGTAGTCCTTGATCCCAGCATGCTACTGACTAAATATCAACATCCTGAGCCTTTTGGTTATTCAGAACAAGTTGTTTAAATATTTTGAACATATTTGCTCCTTGTGACCTTGAATATGATTCAAGGTCATACATTTAAACAAACTTGGTAGCCCTTGATCCTAGTATGCTACTGACTAAATATCATCACCCTGGGNAACTTGATAGCACTTTACCCTAGCATGCTACAGGCCAAATATCATCACCCTGGGCATTTTGGTTACTGAGAAGAAGTTGTTTAAAGTTTTTAACATATTTGACCCCTGTGAGCTTGAATATGGGAGAAGGTCATTCATTTGAACAAACTTTGTAGCCCTTCACCTCAGCATGCTACTGGCCAAATAACATCACCCTGGGTATTTTGGTTATTGAGAAGAAGTTGTTTAAAGGTTTTTTAAGACAATTGACCCCTGTGACCTTGAATATGATTGAAGATCATTCATTTGAACAAACTTGGTAGCCCTTCACTCAAGCATGCTACTGGCCAAATATCATCTCCCTGGGCAGTTTGGTTATCGAGAAGAAGATGTTTAAAGTTTTTAACATATTTGACCCCTGTGACCTTGAAAATGAGTAAAGCTCATTAATTTGAACAAACTTTGTAGCCCTTCATCTCGGCATGCTACTGGCCAAATAACATCACCCTGTGCAATTTGGTTATTCAGATGAAGTTGTTTAAAGTTTTTAACATATTTGACCCATGTGACCTTGAATATGGGTGGAGGTCATGCATTTGAACAAACTTTGTAGCCCTTCATCTCAGCATGCTACTGGCCAAATATTGACACCCTAGGCCTTTCGGTTATTAAGAAGAAGTCGTTTAAAGGAAAATATTGACTCCGGACGGACGCCGCGCCACGGCATAAGCTCACTTGGCACTTCGTGCCAGGTGAGCTAATAAAACCAACAAGAAAGTAAATTTTATAAATGCAGAATTGAGGATAACTCATTACATGTATATATCAAAACTGTTAAAAATTCTATTTAAAATGCATTCACAAGAAGTGACTAGTTTTTAACTGGGAAACAAAACCTAAGCCATTAAGGAAACCTAAGCCATTAAGGAAACCTAAGCCATTAAGAATGGTGCCTATTTATGTATATAAACAAAATTGATCTTAAAAATCCTTGTAAACTTGGTCACCCTATCATATACCGGGTAGGTATGTAGTGTATAGATTATACCATCAATCATTTTATCTTTCATGTCTGAAATCAAAAGTATCCCTGCTTGGCAGCTTGTAATCAATGGTACAATGTATCTGAAGTACCTGGTACACACATATTCTGTACTGATATCTCCGGGAGTTCTGTCTAAACTATTTCAATTCTTATTTATTTGAAAGAGTTGATGAAACTTTTCTCCAAAAAGATCGGTATATACAAATCTTTTTAAAGTATATATTATATTTATGTTGCTTTTACATATCCTGGTTGAAAAAGTTCAGGTGGTGCAGCACGGAAGTTATATATATTTTGTGATAAAAGAACGTACTTTGACCGGAACTATATATGCCAAAGTTTTAGGCAGAGCTAAAAATGCAGTTTTCAAAGATTTGTGACAAAGACAAATAACCATGTATCAAGAAAAGGTCCTTTTTTCACTCATGCACATAAATTTATAACAATTCCTAAAACATACGTGTGAATGTCAAAGGATAAAAGTGAACAGATATATCATGAACTTCCCCCACTTTCATCATGAATCTACACCTTCAGAATATGTGTAGGTTTTTCTCGGAAGGTTTGATATCACACTACCGAAGAACAATTAGTTAAGCATGTTGTTGTCTTGTCAAAAAAAATCCATATGACCATCAAGAGCTAACGATAAACTTTGCCACACAGTTAAACTCTACTCAATTTTAATATTTTATGATTGCCATTTTGTTTATATATATATATATATATGTGTAAAAAGATATGTATATTGTATGACTTTGCCATCAGTAGGTATAGTACATATTTCTATGGAGATTCATTTTCTGTATAAATAACAATACTGTATCACAAAACTAAACACAAATTAAATAGACTCGAATACAATAAGACTGTAAGATACACACATAAACACATAGAATAAAAGCTAGCCTATACATCACTAACAAATATAGATCACACTGGAATAAAAACAAAGTATCAGGACTCTCCGATCATACTGGAATATACACAGAACGCTTAACTGTTTAAAGATGGGTTCCCTATATTATTTAGCTTTTTTTGCTTCATATATAAATGAAAATTTAATGTAATTATGGATTTATCTAGTTAATGCAGAAAAGCAAAATTAATAATTTCATCTCATTTTTGAGATCTAATAAATTGCTTTGTTCGCTTCATTAGTAGATGTCATGTTATCATTACGATCCAGTTAGCTTTCAAAAGTATTTACCCGGGGTAGTAAGACTGTGGCATTGAACTTTGCATGAAACATTCTTATCAGGTAGTTCTATACCGTTGTCAGGTGTTCCTACCCGTAAATTTGTATTCCGGTGTATTGATTACAGTATATTCTCCTGGAACCAATCATCCATAATACTATTAGCTTACCAGGTACATAACAGTAAAACTATTCAAAAAAGCATACTGGAAAACCCAGCCCAATCACTTAAAAATACCATGCATAAATGGACAAATTTGACAGTGTAGTAAGATGAAGTATCCATGAATTTTACCTCTGCAAGAGGATTACATATGTACCTAATCAAATTGTTTCCTACCATTCAGAAAGATGAAACTGCATTTGCTCAAAACAAAAGAAATCCTGAGTAAAACAATCAATATAAAGGTTCCCATTGGAAAGAGTTCACAAGATGTGATGGTCTACACCAAAATGAAATCATTAATGTAGAAAATTTCACCATACATCTACAAAATGACACGGACAGCAACAGAAGTGAGACAGATACAGACAACCAAAGTGAGATCGGCAATAGACCAGAGGAGCTCATGAAGCCTACCCAGATGAGGTTATATGCTCCGTTTTCAAACAAAAACCATTCAAACAAAAACCAAAGAAACTCTACCTACATAAATATTGACACTTTTCTGGAATATGATGCCACATTGCCGGTTAACAGTACCTTGAGCGCGTCAACAGAGTATATCAATTGCAGTTAGGAAATAAATCTGAGATAAAAGTTTCTTATTTTATAACTTCTACTTTAAGTTACTTGACAAATGTTATATTGACAACCTTTTTGATCCAGAAAATAATATTGGGGAACCCGCCATTAATATTAAGGTATCAGCTCTGAAGTTCTAGAAGACAGGCATTAGGTCCTGAAACACAGAACCGCTATACCTTCACTTCTAAATACAAGACTTTGAGAATCACCCATTTTGTCTGAACCTGGTTAGATAAGTAGAAAATGGCCTGTTTCATATGAACTTGGTTCACAGGGAGTTGGCCTGTTTTATCTGAGCTTTGTTGACTAAGAGTGGTCTTTTTAATCTTAACTTGGTTATTCTGAAAATGGCCTGTTTTATCTTAACTTAGTTCAAAGGGAGTTGGTCTGTTTTATCTGAACTTAGTTCAAAGGGAGTTGGTCTGTTTTATCTGAACTTAATTCACAGGGAGTTGGACTGTTTTATCTGAACTTAATTCACAGGGAGTTGGCCTGTTTTATCTGAACTTAGTTCACAGGGAGTTGGTCTGTTTTATCTGAACTTAGTTCACAGGGAGTTGGCCTGTTTTATCTGAACTTGGTTCACTAGGAGTTGGCCTGTTTTATCTGAACTTGGTTCACTAGGAGTTGGCCTGTTTTATCTAATATTAGTTCACTGGGAGCTGTCTGTTATATCTGAACTTGGTTCACTAGGAATGGTCTGTTTTATCTAATATTAGTTCACATGAAGTTGGTCCCTTATATCTGAACTTGGTTCACAGGGAGTGGCATATTTTATCTGAACTTTGTTGACTTAGATTGGACTGTTTAATCTGAACTTGGTTATTCTGAAAATGGCCTGTTTTATCTGAACTTGGTTCACAGGGAGTTGATCTGCTTTATCTGAACTTGGTTCACAGGGAGCTTATCTGTTTTATCTGAACTTGGTTCACAGGGAGTTGGTCTGCTTTATCTGAACTTGGTTCACAGGGAGGTTATCCGTTTTATCTGAACTTGGTTCACAGGGAGTTGGTCTGTTATATCTGAACTTTGTTCACAGGGAGTTGGTCTGCTTTATCTGAACTTGGTTCACAGGGAGGTTATCCGTTTTATCTGAACTTGGTTCACAGGGGTTTGGTCTGTTTTATCTGAACTTGGTTCACAGGGAGTTGGTCTGCTTTATCTGAACTTGGTCTGTTATACCTGTTTTGCCTAATATTGGTTCACTAGCTAGGAGTGGTCTTTCACTACTCACTCTTGCTTTTGTTGAATTTGACATTTTTTGGGAAAACAAATTCTTCGAAGTAAGAAACCTGTAGCTGTAATGAGACAAATAAAGCATCTCCCTCAAACCAATAAACTAAAAACACTCCATGTCTGATGTCATCCTTAATCAGAACACAACAGTTTAGATTATACATTTTAGATTGTACCTGTTGTATACATTTCGCATTTCATTCTCACCTACAAATCATCACTTATGAACTCATATAACATCTAGTGTTTGTACACCAAGCAAAATTTGTGAAATTGGGAATAATTTACTTCCAAGATTGAAGTGTCAATCGGTGCTTTTAAATCCACGTCACACCTTTTTCACCTGTCCATTTTTCACCGGTATGGTCACCTGTCTTTCAATGAATCATTGTATGTCCCTGCTTCTGCATGTCGTTCTTTGATTGTACAAGTAGTATGTATGTTACAGTCCATTTTTACTTGCCTTGAAGTATATATGATACAGGTCTATGCAGGTCCAATCTGTCAAAAACAATCAATCGTAAATTAAAGTATCTGCAGGTACTCTCAGACGACACTAAAAGTTGTCAACGTTATAAATGGTTGTCCGATCCATGGCCGCAAGTATTTATTTTGTAACATATCAATTCTAATAAACAGATTTAAAATTAACTTTGATAATCATATAAATATGACTTTACAATGTATTTAAAGCATCATTTGGTATCTTTAAGATTACTATTAATTACATTCACATGCAGTATACATGTTTTGTAGTTCTCAGTACATGCATATCTAAATATATATTTAAGAGGCAGCATGCATCACGTCATCTGGTAATACAAAATACAAATACACATGTACACTAAAACAGCAATTATTATCAAATGCAAAAATTATACAATGTAAAACAAAACAAAAATGTATACCCCTTATCTATTAAAATGCCATAAAGATTTCTATTGTCTATATTGAACAAATTGTAAAGAAGTATGCTGACAGGATTTGGTCAACTTAAATTTAGCTAAGACTCATCCAAACTGTACATGTTGTCCTAGGCCAAAACATGTGTAGCTCGTTATATCAGTCTACATTTGTAAACAGTATAATTTTTTATGTGCTGTGCTTGCAGGCATTTTTAGTCCCTGTAATCGCAAAGGATTTGAAGCAGTAATTACAAGCAATGTTATCTATATAGTAATCTTGTATAGCAAATTACTGTCACTACCAAAAAAAATATAAGCAAAATATAAAAATCAAAAACAGCTAAGCATGCGTGAATTGTTGTACTACAAAGACAATTTATGTTAAACTACACATCCATAGTTTGTACTAAAATTACACACCCAAAATTAAGTTTTTGTTAAACTACGTATACACACCCAAAGTTTGTGAATTAAAACTACACACCCACAGTTTGTGTTAAAATTACACACCCATAGCTTTTGTTAAACTACACACCCAAAGTTTGTGTTAAACTACACACCAAAAGTTTGTGTTAAACTGCACACCCAAAGTTTGTGTTAAACTACACACCAAAAGTTTGTGTTAAACTGCACACCCAAAGTTTGTGTTAAACTACACACCAAAAGTTTGAGTTAAACTTACACACCAAAAGTTTGTGTTAAACTGCACTCCCAAAGTTTGTGTTAAACTACACACCCACAGTACAGTTTGTGTTAAACTACACACCAAAAGTTAGTGTTAAACTGCACTCCCAAAGTTTGTGTTAAACTACACACCAAAAGTTTGTGTTAAACTGCACACCAAAAGTTTGTGTTAAACTACACACCCAAAGTTTGTGTTTAACTACACACCAAAAGTTTGTGTTAAACTGCACACCCAAAGTTTGTGTTAAACTACACACCCAAAGTTTGTGTTAAAATTACACACCAAAAGTTTGTGTTAAAATTACACACCCAAAGGTTCTGTTGAACTACACATCCACAACTTGTATAGAACTAACACACCCAAAGTTTGTGTTAAACTACACACCCAAAGTTTGTGTTTAACTACACACCAAAAGTTTGTGTTAAACTACACTCCCAAAGGTTCTGTTGAACTACACATCCACAACTTGTATAGAACTAGTCACACACCCAAAGTTTGTGTTAAACTTGTTAAACTACCAACCTAAAGGTTCTGTTGAACTACACATCCACAACTTGTATAGAACTACACACCCAAAGTTTGTGTTAAACTTCACACCCCGTTTGTGTTACATTATAGATATATTTATGGAGGTTCTCCAACAAGTAATGGTAAGTTATCATGCTTGTCTATCTCTGTTTAGTTTTCAAATTGGATAATGACATAACGTTTACCGAGTGTCTTTTACAATTTGTAAATTAACAAACGAGAGTTAAATAAACATGATAATTAACCTTTACAAATTTGGGGACCTTTTTATCCCATAACGTTCAGGCAGTATATCTAGAACACAATATGTTTTTCTTGGGAATATGTTTTTTCAACTGAGGAAACAATTGCCATGAATTCGAACTATGACATCACAATGTAAGATGATGTTGCAAAGTATTGTTAACCCCCTTTCACACCTAGCCGCATTGCCACTGCGATTGCACGGCGTTGTGAAATTTCCGAGGGCGCCGTGATATTTTTTCACGAAGATGGCAATGCCACGGCGACCTTGGCGTTTCAACGAAGCTCCATGGCGTTCTATCGCATTCCTACGGAGATCTAGTTGGCGATTTTCTGCGCTCTCATGGCGCTTCCACTGTGTGCATCGAGTTGTCATGGCACCGTATAAGCGCGGTAGAGACGCAGTGTCATCTCAGAGAACGCCATACGATCGCCTTGCAAGCGCCAACGATAACCATTGCGTACGCACTGCAACCTCTGTGCGCACCCGCGGCGCTCCTGTGGCGTTGTAGGAGACCTAACTGCGCTGCTACGGCGATGTCATGGCGATCCCACTGCGCTCTTATCAGAACGCCGAGCGACGGCGTTTGTTTTGGACATACTCAAAGTGTGCGCCGTCGCTCGGTGTTCTATGCGATCCAACCGCGTTCACTGGCAATGCCACTGTGTTGCCACGGAAATGCTTGTGATTCCACTGCGAGCAGATTGGCGTTCTGGATTTTTCTTGGAAGCCGTGGGAACAATTAAATCACATCGGTTGGCAAACTTAGCATGAGTCGGATATGTGCATATGGAATTCGGTTGAAACATCTGAACAATATCTACAGCAATTATCACATGAAAACCAAAAAGTGCCCGAGATGGGTGGAAAGGCAGAGGAACACAAACATTGTTATCAAGTTTGAAGGATTTTGGCTAATATTTGCTAGAGTTATTAAGCAGAAACTGCAGATAATGAAGTTTTTCGTTAATCAAGGGGCCATAACTCTGCCAAATGGAGCCCTTAATAAGTTGAACCCTGTTACTAAGTTTGAAGACAACCAGATAATATTTGTTGTAGTTCAGGAACAGAAAAGGCAGAAAATGACGTTTTTCATTTTTCAAGGGGCCATAATAAACTCCACCAAATGGGGTCCCCTAAAAGTGGTCATCGAACTTGGTCGACCCCTAAAGGCATTCAACCCTGTGACTAAGTTTGAAGAAAAATCATTTATTATTTGTTGTAGCTATTGCACGGAAATGAAGCGCGGCAGATAATGACGTTTTTCGTTATTTGAGGGGCCATAACTCCACTAAATGGGGTCCGCTGAAAGTGGTCATCGAACTGGGCTGAGCCCTTAAGGCATTTAACTCTGTGACCAAGTTTCAAGATAATTGGTTAATATTTGTTGTAGTAATTGCATGGAAAAGAAGCGTGGCAGATAATGACGTTTTTCGTTATTTAATGGGCCATAACTCCACCAAATGGGGTCCATTGAAAGTGGTCATCGAACTTGGCCAAGCCCTTAAGGCATTTAACCCTGTGACCAAGTTTTAAGAAAATCGGTTAACATTTGTTGTAGTAATTGCATGGAAACGAAGCGTGACAGACAGACAGACTAGACAGATAGACAGACGGACAAACCCAAATTAATATCCTCTGTTTCGGTGAAAGCGGGGGATAATAAGCATAGCTTTATGTAGCATACTATATTTGTGATTATTTCTGTGGCAATTGTTTTTGCAGCTTGTGCATTAAATATGGGTATGAATGTGCAAATTCAACACGCAACAAACATGTCTATTAAACTTAAACACTTAAATTTCAAAACCACAAATTCAACACGGCAATTGCACATGTATTATTACACACTGAACAAAAACGATACAGCATGATATCAGATCTGTATATATATTATACATGAGTACACAGGAGAGCATCTCTGATTTTTAAACCAATAAATGCCCTATTAAACATGCAGGTATATATAGATCCAATGTTATTACAGCCATAGTGTACACAAAGATGTGAGGACACTCAATAAACTTGGTGTAGATTTTCATGCAGTATAATGGCAGGTGTTTTATATTGATACTCTCTAACATGTTGGAAAATATTGAACGACGAATTACCGTAGCTTTTTACGTCAAATAAGTATTAAAGACTATAAGACGGACAGGAGAAAATTGTTACAAATTTGAGATAAGTGATACTTCGATGAAGGATTTATGCTGTTAGAATAAATATTTCACTTCAGGATATCCAAGTTTTCAGAGTTTGAACCATCAAAGTTTTAATCACTAAGATACAGAAGACTTTTGGCCAGACTTGAAGAAACATTTAGAGTTAAACAGGGTCTTCAAGTTATAAGAGTTCCAGATAATGAGGTTTGACTCAGTGTACCAATGTTAAAATACCTAAATACTTATACAGTAAGTGTACACACACACCTATTGCAAGACAGCAGATATATATATATATATATGGATTTGTCTAATAGCCAGCTTTGTTAAGTTCTTTATCATTTCTTCATGTTATGGAAGAGCAGGAAAGAAATGAGTAAGTCCTCCTTAAGAAAACTTAAAATGGCGCCACACATGTTAATAATGAGCATGTCCTCCGCAAGAAAATATTCAATAGTGTCACACAAGTTAATGTTATTGACGCACAGCAATTACAAAAAAAAACACTTCACAATAGAAATTCCACACAAGTGGTACTTGTCACAGTTCAAGTAAAAGCTGGGCAGTGTTTTAATTAAAATTCAGGCTAAACCCTGAAAATTTATATATATATATAAGGGAAGTGAGATCCTGTATGCCGGGAAATATTTGCTGTAATTCAAATACAATTTTGGTACATTTTCTACAGAATAAAGGAAGTCTTCGACTGAGAATTTGAAGTGCCTGTATATTAATCTGACAACTATAGTAATGAGGATGTCTTTATCAAGACAGTAAACACAGCATACAATGTATAGTAACTACATCATGAAGGGTGGATTTATTTTTGGGCAAATACTGTACAATGGGAATTTTTTGCCCAGTCAAATTAATGCCCTTCGATCGAAAAATCGATTTTCACCTAATTTTAAATTCGCCCTTCACATTTAATTACTCTGCATATTATGTTGTTTACAAATGTTATGATTAATTCGCCCTCATTAATAATACGGAGGGCATAATAAGCAAAAGTTAAACTGCGGCGAACATTTTCAAGTATACAATATATTGGCAGCAAAATTTCCCATTGTACAGATGATGGTTACTTATGTGACATATGACAGAAGCTTTTTCATTAAACAGGTATCGTACAGCCCAGCAATTCTTGATCACATGACAATGGTCCACTGTGTAGGTTAGTGGTCATCACTCCAATAGGTAACATGCAGGAGCAGCACATGTCGGTCTGGTCAGCTTAGTAAAATAGTCATGCAGGCTTTATGAAAATTATTAAAACTAAATTGTTAGACACAAAGGCAAATATTTGACTACAATACTGAATTGTGATCAAAGAGGTTCTATCCACAACTACTCTGTAAGCAGAATATAAGCTGACCACACACGCTCTGTATTTGATCTATACCCTGGTCAGGCGTCCACTGCTACTTGGGGGGCATAGAAATTGGCGAACTGTCCAGTGACAATTCAAACACATTCTCGGACGTCAACTTGTGTACAATCCACCTGGAAAAAAACATGGTCATCAACATGGGATACCCACAGACTCGATGATCAGTTGTTGAGACGTGTCTCTTTACACAGACTCCTGTTTCGGTCACACTGTCCCATAGAGGCTCCCCATTGTATGGTGGTTGATTATTATATTTATCTGTCCCATAGAGGCTCCCCATTGTGTGGTGGTTTCTTGTTACATTTAATGTCCCATAGAGGCTCCCCATTGTGTGGTGGTTTATTGTTACATTTAATGTCCCATAGAGGTTCTCCATTGTGTGGTGGTTTATTGTTACATTTAATGTCCCATAGAGGCTCCCCATTGTGGAAAGGTTTTATATTATATTTATCTGTCCCACAGAGTCTCCCCATTGTGTGGTGGTTGATTATTTTATTTATCTAACTTGAATAAATTTCAAATTGTAGAAAGACACAAGGTTTACCAAGTATCTTAAGGTTAGATATTAAACAGTATAACCAGCCGTATCAGGTTTGGGCAATTTTTTCTCCCCAAGTGTTCATATTACAAGGTATATCTGGAAATCCCAATATTCTTCTTGGAAATACAAAGAACTTGTTCCACTTCACCTGTCTATAACTACCATCTCTATTATCAAAAATAGTGGCGGTTGAGTTTTACCTTGGTGATACAGACGAGTATGACAGTATTATGTATTTTGAATATAGAGAAATATTTCCAAAAGAGCTATAACTAAAACATAAACTTTATTTATTTAACAACAAATATGAAACAGTTATTGCAACTTATATTAATCACTTTTGTTGGCCCAGATTTTAGCATGGGGGGGTTCTTAATGCAAGAAGAAACCGAAGTACCCGAAGAAAAACCACATGGTCAGGCAGGTGACCCTGTACTTTTTCACGTCGGATCAGGGAATCAAACCCCGGTTGCCATGGGGAAATGCGAGTGCAAAACACACTGAGCCACCCAACCACCCTCTTGGGTAATAACTATAGATGTAGATGGTGAAGGGCCCACTACAATATATTGATATTACTTGTGTTGATCACATTACAGAAGTCATCAACCACCCCCCTTCAGGCCTTGGGTAATAACTACAGATGATGAAGGGCCCATTTCAATGTATTGATATTACTTGTGTTGATCACATTACAGAAGTCATCAACCACACCCCTTCAGGCCTTGGGTAATAACTACAGATGATGAAGGGCCCACTACAATGTATTGATATTACTTGTGTTGATCACATTATAGAAGTCATCAACCACATCCCTTCAGGCCTTGGGTAATAACTATAGATGATGAAGGGCCCATTACAATGTATTGATATTACTTGTGATGATCACATTATAGAAGTCATCAACCACANTTAATCACTTTTGTTGGCCCAGATTTTAGCATGGGGGGGTTCTTAATGCAAGAAGAAACCGAAGTACCCGAAGAAAAACCACATGGTCAGGCAGGTGACCCTGTACTTTTTCAAGTCGGATCAGGGAATCAAACCCCGGTTGCCATGGTGAAATGCGAGTGCAAAACACACTGAGCCACCCAACCACCCTCTTGGGTAATAACTATAGATGTAGATGGTGAAGGGCCCACTACAATGTATTGATATTCCTTGTAATGATCACATTAGAGAAGTCATCAACCACCCCCCTTCAGGCCTTGGGTAATAACTATAGATGATGAAGGGCCCATTACAATGTATTGATATTCCTTGTGATGATCACATTATAGAAGTCATCAACCACATCCCTTCAGGCCTTGGGTAATAACTACAGATGATGAAGGGCCCACTACAATGTATTGATATTCCATGTGTTGATCACATTAGAGAAGTCATCAACCACACCCCTTCCCAAGCATCTTACAACCTAATCAACTGCAATGACTGCTATTTTAACAATAGCCCATATGAAGAAACCAGTTGATTTTTATTTGTCTTTTATTATTTATGCTTGATCTGCCTTGTAATTAATGAACTGACTAGATTGTATTAAATGTAGGGATTATGCCGTTTGAGGGGAAGGCTGGCTAACTGAAGAAATTACAAAAATCACCAAACATAGTTATTCAAACCAATTGTATTCATTTTTTCATTCATTTTTTAGGTCTTTTGAATATATAATAAGGGATTTAAAGATTTTGATAGCTGCACATGACATGGAAAGGTGTCATAAAGATGCTTATAATTTTTGGCACCTTTGGTCGGGGTACCTGAAACATGCATTTTGTTTAGCCTTATTATAAAATACAGTACACTGGGCAAACAATTCCATTTTGCCTGTAGACATACTGTTGCCTACATTAAGAGAGTCCTTGTGTCACAACCCACCTGTCGTATATGATGCCGTCCACACCCTGGTCACGAAGCCGGCGGATCGTGTCAGAGTTGTTGGAATCTTCACCCCAACAGAACAAAACAAGTCCTGCTGCCTTGGTTTCTTGGATATTTTCTGGCCGTGTACATAGTACCTCCGTACAAACATCAATGCCCTGGTAACACAGAAGATTGCCAACACATCATAATCAATCCAAGGAAACTGAAGGAAGAATATTAAGTCAGGTCCATTAATCAAAGTGCTGAAAAAATTGCCTCAGAGTTTTTGGCAGTATTTGTTTGAAAATTGGTCCAAAGTCCCAATTCAAACTTGTCTGTGAACACTTAATCAACTAGTCAGAAATTCGCAACCCTGCTAAATCGTCATTAGTTTTGCTGTAGCCTTCAGAAACTATCGACAAATCAGAGTTCAGTTACTGTGAAATCACTAATTTTTGTTGTGTTTTTTTTATTTCCGTGATTTCGTGGGTATTCCTCATCAACAAATTCATAAGTACACCAGGTATTAACAAGTTTGATATAAAATCAATTCTTCCTTTGAATGGGTACTCATAATCCACAAATTTCTGTACCCATGAAACGGTGTTTCGTCAAGAAATCATGAAATCCAGGCCCACGAAAATATCTGATTTCACAGTATCTACAACAAATTCATCAATTATGGCAAATCAGTCAACAAATATTCAAGATAGACTGCAGAAACCGAACAGATATGTATCTTACCAGAATATCAGCAAACTGAGCGAAGTGTATAGCCATGGGCATACTCTGTTCCCGGACATCACTGTAAGGTAAATAGCACTTGGCACCTCCATTGGTAAGGAACAGTACTGGGTATCGGTTCTGTTTGAGTCGAAGACTGTAACAGGAACATTCATCACACTTCAAATGACCATTTTTTCTCATAGTCAATCTTAATCTTAACTGTGCGATTATGCCTAAAATTTGATTAACAGTATATATATATGATCATGACCATGACAATTGAAATTGTCTTTTCATACATTGTATAGTACATATATTATACAAACATATATCTCCATAGCAAGGGAATGTCTCGGTCAATATTACTTTCTTATGTCCATGATATTATAACCATATCACTATTCACCTAAACAAAAGTTCACAATTGACCTATGTAGATATATACGTATCTTCCACAGTGGGAGCCTTGACAGTGTATCTACATTGTATCTACTATCTATAGCAGCAAAACCCATACTTTTCACAGGTTTGTTTGTATGTTTGGGGTTTAACGTTCTTACAGCCTGGGTCACATGAGACAGAATTTACTTAGGCAATGTTGAGTGTTCGCCCAGGTGAGGAAGGCAATGGGTTCTGTCCCCAGGCCGGGACATAACAAAGTCCTCAAAATGGTAGTTGTTATTCCCTGCTTAACGTTCAGCATCAAGGGGAATGGCAACAACTGGTTTACTCGTTGTCAGTATAATATGACCGGACGGAATGCTGTGCTGGGTGCCTTCGGCATGGTATTTCAGTGAAATAGCACTATAATGTCGGCATCAGATCTGGCTATCACAAGGAGGCAAACACACCAACATATCCTTTCTCCTGCATACACACACGCAATCACACACACTACACACATGGATGCACATCCTTAAATGACCTTAGCTGTTAATAGGACGTTAAACAAAGTTAAACCAAACCAAACTTAGGCAATATAACAATACAGACTTCAATGGAATGTGTACTTACAGGAGGCAGGTCTCGGGGTCAAAGCTGGAGAAGATGATTTTACGACCGCGAGCACATTCAAAGGTATTTCTCAGCACAATGTCAACATACTCGTTCCTGTCCCAGAAATGTTCATCTTCCAACTCTCCATCCTTGAATTATATTAACTGTTATATAGCAAAGGTGAAACCACTTCCCATCCTTAAATTATGATAGCTATTATAGAAAACGTGAAACCACTTCCCATCCTTAAATTATGATAGCTATTATAGAAAACGTGAAACCACTTCCCATCCTTAAATTATGATAGCTATTATAGAAAACATGAAACCACTTCCCATCCTTAAATTATGATAGCATTTATAGAAAAGATGAAACCACTTCCCATCCTTAAATTATAATAACTATTATAGAAAACGTGAAACCACTTCCTGTCCCTAAAAAAAAATGTAAAATCGCTCCCTTTTCTTCGATTGCAATATTAAACTGTCATTCCAAAATCAGAAAAACTGTTATGAAGAAAATATAAAATCACTCCTCATCCTTAAGTTGTTATAACTATTATACGGATATGATAATCCCTCTCCCATCACTAAATTAAAGGAACTATGCCATGGTATACATACAAAGTTGTTGCTATTCTGCATTCTTAAATTTTGATATTTCTAAATGGTAATTTCCATTTTAGAAACAAGAGATCCCAGAGGGATCTTGGCACCCACCAGCTTACCATCTTCATTAGTTCTAAGTCAGTTTGATCTTTTCTCTTCTTTTCTCTTATCTGTTTTATTTGTTTGCCTGTCTGCCATCTTAATCAGTCTTTTGATGAACCTCAACAGTAACATGGACAACTAAGGACCAAGGGGAACCTACATATCGAGAAAGATTCCGCCAGTTGTTTCTAAGAAATAGTGATAACAAACTTAAACTGCAACAGGATGACTGCCTGTCGGCCAGTTTGGTTTTCCAATCATCCCCAAAAATCGAAATGCGGAACTAAGAACCATGAGGAACCTTCATGTGAAATTTGAGAACGACCCCTCCAGTACTCCCTGAGAAATAGTGTTAACAAGAATTGTTTAAGGACGGACAGAATGACGGACCACGGATGCAGGGTGATTTGAATAGCCCACCATCAGATGATGGTGGGCTAAACAATAAGGTACATAATTTGAAATTACTCCTATTCAGCCTTTGTATATATGTGCAAGAATTGGATCATATTCATCAATGATTTCTATATTTAGATTTTGTTTGGACAACAGCTAAATTTATGAATTTCTGCACACAAACAATTCATGTATGCCATTATTTTGTGAAGCATGTAGAGCCTGCTTGCAGACAGTGGTAGATTTGTGAGGACGTTAGCGCTGACCGTTCAGAGAGTTTGTAACCCTGCTTTGTTAAACAACTTGGCCTACCATTTTCTGCTGAGGAAACTTGACTTCAACATTGAAGCCAATTTTCTCATCTACAAGTTGATAACATTCCTGTAGTGTGGGGAAAGGCTGGTGATGGATGTGGTCCAGATCTTCCCCGTCAATATCTTCAACAAACACACAGTATTATAGATCCACACAGAATATAACTGATTACCGTACATGGCTATGTTACAACCAGCTTACAAATACCAGTGCTGACTAGAATTGCATTAATATACTATAGCTAGACAAGACTACAACCTGATATTAAACAAATACAAATGCTAATAGATGTAATTTGAAAATGTTTTCTTTTGTTACATTTGCAGTACTGTACTTAAATGTCAGGAACATCTTCCTTTTTTTTCTCTTTTTTTTTCCATTTCTTTCTTACTACTGTACCTGAATAAGGAACATTTTTCTATTTTTGTTTTTATTTATTTTTCATTTATTTTTAACGTGTACAAACAGTCTGGATTTTTTTCACATTTTGGTTGGCAATAAGACCCTGCTTATTAATTGATATTTTGAATCAATTATGATTCTTGAGTACAAAATAATACTGTATACATTTTGTATTTTGGTTACTATTCCCTGATTGACATTTCGACTCACCATGCTCCTCATCACCAATGGCTGTTTTGTCAGCAAGCTACAACAGTCACAGAGAGTAATTACACTGTAATATACTGGTATTGCTTCATTTAATATATCTACTGTACACGTTTTTTGTCATATACTGATCAGCTGTGCAATAATTTAAACCATAGCCTTCTGTTTTATTTACTAGTTACTTTTTTCAAGTTTTTCATAGGGAGATACCTTGTTGAAAAAAACACTTGTCAAATATCTTACAATGACCCTTGTCAGACAAAACAATCGTGTAAATAACATTCCATGTTCTATATGGAAAGCCATGTTTCATTTAATGAAATAGGTATTAATTCCTTTCAGATCTTTAATTTAAGTTTACGGCATTCAGTAAAATAAGTAATTGGAAATGATTGATAATTTGCACTTTAAGCAATTATATATGTAAAAGTATTGAAAAATAAACTGACTTTTTTTAATTTAATTTTACTTTAAACAAATGAACCAATTAAGATAATAATGTCTTAAAGACTTCCCTTTTTAGATATATCCAGAATTAGTGTCCCTCCTGTCATACAGGAGACAAATTTCAATTTGCATTGGTTACCTTCATTGATTGCAACTCGGACACGCTGAGATCTTTGACCCCCAGTTTAAGTAACTGATGTTCCTTCTTTTTCTGAAATATAATCATAATCCATTAACTTTAACCAACTCAGTGTGTGATGTGTTCATGATCAGTAAGGGGTTATGAGTATAGAGACACAAAATTAACAAGTATACTGCTGGGAGGACCATTATACACACTAATCACACGGTATGTAGCTTCAACTCTAGCTCATTATATAACAAAGTAACATGCTTTGAACCCTTCTGATGCTTTCTTGTAACAAAATGTATGAAAATATTAAATTGTAACAAGAAACTACATTTGTATGACATGTAAATTACATGCACTGGGTAAAGTTGAATTATTTCTTGAATGTGTTGAAACAGTAAACATCTTGTACTTTACTTCACTAGATGTTACTACACAGATTTGTTTGATTTATCTCCAAAATTAGAAGATAATATCATTTTTTCATAAAATAGCATCAATTCAATTTTACAGTAGCTTGTGTAATTTGACAAACTGAGACGTACCTTTCGGTAGGTGATGCAAACATGGAAGTCATGGAATATCACAGGTACCATATCTTTACTGAGCATCACATCAAACTCCACGTAGTCAGCACCCTGTTGTCACATCACCAACACATAAAGATAACACATAAGTGTACTATAGTAGAAATTATAATGTTTCCATCTTAAACCAGCTGTAAGTGGTGTGAACATTTTAGCATTGCAAATACCAATACTGCTATACATATTTCATTTTTTTAATGATTGGGTTTTGCACAAGTTAACCAGAAATAAGTGACAAATTATTACTTGTATACTGTGGTCACTTCCACAGTATATGTACACCCAATGTGGTGTCATCAGAAAAATACCATTCACATCAGAATCAAGTTATACAGTTGACACTTAAAATGTGAAAACTGAAAACAAATGCAAGGCTTAAATATCTGTTATAAGCATTGCTGTAAGTCTGATAGCTCCTAATGTACAGGTATGTTTTTATTTGATAACTCCTGTTTTATCATTGACAACAAATCTGAGAGAGGAAGATAATGTTTACTTACATGGCTACCAGCAGACTGTAGGGAAGCAATTGTGTTTTCTCGGACAGCAGCAAGCCTGATAGAAAAATATATGCAAAGTGTTCAAACTATCTCATGAGTAATATTTGGAATTTTCTTAAGTAATTTATGACTTATAAGACCAAAACAGAAAATTTGTTGAAATGTTGGAAAAAAAACTGTTGAAAAAAAGCAATGTATTACAAGATAATCCTCTTGTCCCTACAAGTCAATAGGCAACATTGAAATTAGACAACAATATCCACTTACTAGTAATATCAGACAATAACAAATTGATCATCAGGAGACAGTTATACTGCTAGCAGATGTCAGATGTACAGGGTCATCTTCAAAAGCAGTCTATGGTCTATGTTTTCGCATGATTAATCATGTTTCACAAGGGCAAAGCCTAAATGAAATTAATCAAGAACAAACAAAGAATCATGTTTCCCTACTAAAAGTTTCGTACTTTATTATTACTGAAAAAATAACAGAATAATAACACAACACTAACATTATCAGGCCTTCGTGCTTCTGTCATCTACTACTGTTACTTAAAAACCAAGGTGACTCTTATTGATGTTTCTAAACAGGCCCAGAATGAGCGAAGTGAGACTTGGGGAAACTCAAGCACTGAAGGGTAGCACAACAATTTATTTCCTTGCATGTGATAAAATAAAATAAAATCAGATACACTGTGTGCAGTAGAGATCCAGGTATATATTAATATTGAGTGTTAAAACGCAGATATTGCAATAACCAACAAAATCAGCAGGGTCTGAGGAGTCATACTTTTTGTGTTTGTAAGAGCTGCCCAGACCACGGTGTCCCACATCTACACTCTTGGCGTCCTTTCCCCAGTAACTCTGGTACGACACATCCATCAACATTGTCAGATCTGGCACTGGCTTGGCCACGAAGTAGGACACTAGGACAATAAAATTTCAGTAATTCTACGACCACCAGCTCTTTAGTTAGATATTATCATAATTCTCCAATATTGTCTTCATATTTCAACAATAATTGTATACGATACACAGTCTTAAGTAATGGCAACCTGTATATATAGAGTAAAGCTCAAGTACCTGGTAACTGATGGTACGATTGTGCCTTTTTGTCATTGTATTCCCCGTATATGTTTGATAGTACTATATATAGATTTTAAATACTTGTAGAGAGTTTGTTTGGTGTTGTAGTGAATCATGCTATTGTGTTTATTTATGGCAGTGACCTCACTTGTTTGTTTACATACAGTGTCAAATTCATTTCAAAGTAAATTTGAAATAGATATATTTATCATGTAAATGATTTGGTTTGTTTGTGTTTTACGTCCTATTAACAGCCATGGTCATTCAAGGATGTGCCAGGTTTTGGAGGTGGAGGAGAGCCAGGGTTTCCGGAGAAAAACCACCGACCTACGGCTAGTACTTGGCGACTGCCCCACATAGGCCTTGAACCCGCGACCCAGTGGTGAAGGGCTAGTGGTAGAAAAATGTCAGACGCCTTAACCACTTGGCCACCGTGGCCCCCTATGTAAATGAACATAATTAGCCACCCATGGTAACTTATATATGCCGGCCTATTTTATAATCAACTATTACATCTATATCTAAAAAATGTAATGAGAAGGAAAGACAAAATTGTACAATTATATTCAAACAATGGTGACACTTTCTTCAAAGACTTTGTTTTGGTCAGTGATCATGCTTTCTTACTGTGTTTCTGTTTGAATCATGCTAACACTTGAGTTATCCGATGTGTTTATCCTGCAGTCATGATGAATCTTGTGTTGCCTGCTGGGACAGTGTTTATGTTGTAATCATGCTTGCTAACCAATTAGTTTACCACTGAGTTGTCCAAATTGTCCTTTATGTTGGACTTTAACTCATATTTACCAATGAGTTATCCAACAGGTTCAAGTTAGGATCATAAGAACCCTTGGACTTTCAAACACTATGTTCAAGTTATGCTTACCTTTGATTTTTCCGATGGGTTTATGACTAAGGCTACTAATGGGAATCACTTTTGATGACTTGGTGGTGCTAGTGTCTACTGGCAGGATATAGGAATAGCCCATGTGTTTGGCAGGTTTGTCTTCATAATGTACATAAAAATCAAGCTGAAAGCCCTGGAGTCAAAAGTCAAATTGATGAAGGATTCCACATTCAATTTTGAAAATTATTTTTTTACCCTTTCATCGCTATGTAACTTTAGTTAACTCTTCCATGCTTTGATCTGGATGAGTCCATTATGGTCTACAGTGGTGAAAGGGTTAATGAACAAAGGATTTCAACGTTTTCTTTTGTCATTTTATCAAAATTTGTTTCCTAAACATTGTATACATTGTAAATCTTAAAAACTTTTTATCAGTGAACAGACTTACTAAGTTTTCTGGATCTGTAGTCTGAGTAGTAAATATAAGAAAGTCATCCTTGAGAAACATCTCCCCACACTCTGGCTGGGCATATGGCCGACATTGTCCATCCTTCAGGGACTGCACAGGTGAAATGAGGCAAATTGGTATATCACTTTCATAATACACACTGGTACATACATGTATATGTGTATTACCTAATATTTAAGCTATAGGTATAAACCTTTTTAAACATGTAAGCGACACGAACACATAACTGTAGAAACACAAAAAATGTAAGACTTATTTAGAAATTATTTTGAACAATACATGAGCCAGAGCGAGCTGGGATGGAGGACGAACATGAAGTGAGAGGTTGTGGTTAATAGGTATCGAATGAAGGTGGTAAAAATGAGGAAGCGAAAATGAGCTGGGTGGACGTTATATGGGGGGAATATGTGGTGGGATAAGTAAGTGAACCGGTAATGAAGATGAGAGGGTGTGTGCAGCATGGGGATAAGGTGCTGAGTGAGAGAAAATGAATTTAGGTGGGGTGTTATGCAGTAGGTGAATAGGTGGAGGTGAGACTTAGAGGATGGAGATCAGGCAGGGTGGAGGAACTTCAACTGACTGAGTGAAGTATGACCTGGGAAAAGAAAGGACATGGGTGACAGATATGGTGAAGTGAGAATAAGAATGGAACAGTTACCTAAGTTACTAGTAATGGTTGAGGCAAAATGACCTTGTTATCAATAACAAGCTTCAAACATTTGTTTACCGCAGCACTGTGGATCCTTTTTATATGCTATATAATGCTATATAATAAATGTTGAGGTTGAGGTGGAATAGTTTGTAGTTAGGGGTGAGGTATTTTGGTGGGGTGAGGTGAGGAAGGATTGGGTGAGATAGTTTGTACTTAGGGGTGAGGTATTTTGGTGGAGTGAGGTGAGGAAGGATTGGGTGAGATAGTTTGTAGTTAGGGGTAAGGTATTTTGGTGGGGAGAGGTGAGGAAGGATTGGGTGAGATAGTTTGTACTTAGGGGTGAGGTATTTTGGTGGAGTGAGGTGAGGAAGGATTGGGTGAGATAGTTTGTAGTTAGGGGTAAGGTATTTTGGTGGGGAGAGGTGAGGAAGGATTGGGTGAGATAGTTTGTACTTAGGGGTGAGGTATTTTGGTGGAGTGAGGTGAGGAAGGATTGGGTGAGATAGTTTGTAGTTAGGGGTAAGGTATTTTGGTGGGGAGAGGTGAGGAAGGATTGGGTGAGATAGTTTGTAGTTAGGGGTAAGGTATTTTGGTGGGGAGAGGTGAGGAAGGATTGAGTGAGATAGTTTGTGCTTAGGGGTGAGGTATTTTGGTGGGGTGAGGTGAGGAAGGATTGGGTGAGAAAGTCAGAGTCAGACTTCAGTGAGAGAGTATGAGAATGGTGAGAGAGGAAGATAGAATGAGAGAGAATTAAAATGAGGATGATCATATTGATGGTTAGGGGCAAGTGGAGCAAGATATAGGAATGGGATCATAACAAAACATGACGAAGTTGAGAGAGGAAGGGAAGCATACTTACTGCTACAGAGATTACTGACTGTGATGATGTAGCATGAACAGGCTCTTCATCATCAGCATCATGGCCATTCTGTGTATCAACAGAAATACAGGTCAAGTTATTTATTTGTGAAAAAACAGGTTAACCCTTTCACCCCTATGTAACTTTAGTAGACTCTACCATGCATTGATCTGAAAGAGTCCATTATGGTCTACAGTGGTGAAAGGGTTAATGGAATTGTATAACTGGTGAGAAACAATATGCCAGGCCATCTAGCATTTGTCAGCATATCAAACTTGAGGTGCTGATTGAAAAGCATTTGTTCAATTCCCAGAATAGGTTCTTAAATAATTGAATTTATATTAGATATTTTTATCCTCTGTAATTCCTGATACAATTGTTACTTGTCTAAGTTAAATTAATTTTCATATGACTGTTTGTGAAATATAAAAAAAGCAGTCACTATTTTTTTCTCTAAAAACATTTGTGCAGGGCCAGACATATAGTAATATCTCGGTGTTAATTTCGACTATTTACAGAAAATTTGGTACGTTTCAAGTACAACATGGTAGCACCAGTGTAACAGGGAACTAATCGGGTGACCAGCCGACAGTGAAGTGACCTTTATATCGTTGCTGTGTGTGTAGTCTAGAGGTGTACACTTGACTCGGTACGTCTGCTGTTGGTGCCGAGAGCTCAGCATCTGTATCGGATTGTCCCTCAGTTCTAAGTGGATCTCTGTATGGTTCATCAACCATCCATTATTCACAATATTATCAGTTTTTTCTGGGGAAAAAAAAGATATAAACTATTTCAGCATAACTCCTGCTTCCGAGTTCTTTTTAAAGGTGATAACCACACATATTTACACAAAAATACCATGATCAACCTTAGTGCTTGATTGCAGATATTGTTGTGATCAACCATAATTAGTACTAAATGCAAGAAATCACCATGGTCAACCTTATTACTTCATGGGCACATATTCTTGCCCTTGCTCAGAAATTTTATTTTTTGGGGAAGCTAAAATTATTCCCAAATTTTTAGGGAGCATTAGCTATTCACAAATTGAAGCATCTTATAAAAAAATCATGTTCTTTTTATATGATAAAGGTAAATAATCAACTCTCTAAATGGACTAAGATTACCTTATTGGGACTAAATTAGTTCTGGGAAATAATGACACTGCCTACCATATTCTCCAAATACAGCAGTGCCTGAGGCAAACTTTCTTGTCTCTTCTGCATAATCTGAAATCAAATTAAAAAAAAAATACTTCAGTTTACTTGAACTAAGAGCTGTTAGGAAATCAATGTAAATCTGGAAAATGCAAGATTGCAGCATGTTGCCAATACACCCCTCCCCTGCTAAAATGAGGACTAAATTTATCGAGATAGGCAGGGATTTTTTTATTATAATCTGCTAACATGACACTTTGTCTTCTCAAGATGTATCAGCATACCAACTTTAATGATTGCAGATGAAATAATGTGGGAGATATGCTTCAGACTTTTAATTTAGGTCAAAGGTCAAAATGTAGGTCATGGTGACTTACTTTTTTATGTGACACTCTGTCTTTCCAAGATGTACCAGCATACCAACTTTGATGATTGCAAGTAAAATAAAGGCAATAAAAAAATATCAAACTTTGAATATTTTGGACCCCGGCATTGACCATATAACCTGATTTTTTTTACATTACTCGACACTAAAGTGAAGAATGAACGACCCTTTAAGTTCTGAAACCATTCATTTTATCATCAACTATGTATGTAACAAACCGTAATTTCACAACATCATACAGCGAAGTGAATGCTTGTGTCTGCCTTATTATACCTTTTGAAGATAAAATTCTTGGTTTTATGTTGGCCTCCCATCTGATCACTTGCATGGTGTGGCTATTTTGATGCGATTCCCTACCATGGCATACCATGTACCTATACAATATGTCCTCTTTTAAGTCCAAGGTTATACAGCAACTCCAAAGGTCACTGTAACAGACAGCTCAGTTATATACACCAGGTAAAAATAATGTACACAATATTTTACTGTTATTAACACCATTATTACTTGCAAGAAACCTTAGGGTCTATATCTATGGAGTCCATGTATAAAAATATGGGAGAGGAATTAAATATGTAAAAATGTAACATACCAGACTTTATAGTGTACAACAGTACAAATTCAGTAACATATAAAAGGTAACTATATGAAGACTTAGTACTACGTAATTATACTACACAAGCTTGCAAGTTGTATATTGCAGGAATAATAAAATGGCATTGAGCCAGCTGGAAAAGAGCATTCAATAGCGGGGTCCTGGGGATTCACTATTCACTTTTGAATAGTCCACAAAATTTAAGCTGATTTATCAACCTAATATGTTATTGTATATTTGGTAAAATTACCAGATTTACAGGAAAAACTTTATTTCTAAAAACAATTCATCCCTAGTTTCATTAAACTGTAACAAGACATAACAACACCTCTAGTTAATAGAATGTGTTGACAAAATAACACTGACATCCTCACATGGCATTGTATGATAAACACAATATATAGCATATTCTTCAACTCACTTAGCTTCCTGGCTCAGACTAACAGCACAGCGTGGATTCCACTGACCCAGTGTCTTGTTGTTCCCAACAACACACACAATCTGTCCAGGGTCTGTGACTGCCCTAACTCTGAATGTGACCTCCACCATCCTAGATAGCACTTGATTGGTGTTGGTCGTAAAATTAAAACAGTGCACACAATACTATCGCAGAGGGGAAACAGGATATCCTTGGTCTGCAAAAAAAGACAAACGGCAAAAAAAGTCAACTTTTTTTAAAACTGTTTACAGATTTGATGAAATAAAATGTATACTGTCCTCATGTAAACATAGTTTTGAGAAGTATGTATCGTATTAAATAATATTGCATTTGACATAAATTAAACATTATATAACGTTCATCTTCTGATCTCCCAGAAGCAAGTTTCTTCCAAAACCGTGGACAATGCAAAGCTACTGTAATTAATCTGCTTTCTATTTAGCTTTGTTTTGACTAACTCTCTCATACACTTAAATGTGTGAGGTCAAATAAAATTACATCAAACATAAACTATGATGTCCTGTTTTTGCGAATGTCGGGACCCAAATCGGATCACGGCTTGAATTTTGCAGTATCGTACGCTTCAAATAAATATTTTTTTGTCAGCATATTAACATTTTATGATGACCTTTAGAATTTATGTGAAAAAAAGTATTTCTATAGAGTGAATTTATTCCTATAGTCCAAAACATAGTGCATAGTCGTCGCACACGCCATTTTTTAAAAACGTAATCAAAACATTGACATTTGAGTTTGAATTACGTTTTCTTGCGCTATTTGAACTTAAAAACTAATTATCTGTAGTCAGAAAATGGTGCATGGCTATCTTATTCTAAGACAACATCATTGTTATAACTGATTTGTTGGCACATTTATTTATTTATAAGTATTTTTGCAAAAAGTGATCCGATTTGGGTACCGATCCGATTTGGGTACTGCCACCTTACAGTCTATAAACAAATTATATATAGTATAGGGTTAAAAGGGATGTTACTTGTTTGATATAAGTAATATTTCAAGCTTCCTCACCAATAAGCTAAATCAATTTTATAACATACATAGCATATAGAATTATCTAAACATTTTTTCTAATTTAGTAGACAATGAGTAATTTTGCCGAACAGCAATTTTTTATCAAATACATCTTATACCATGGAATTAGATTAGAGTAAGTCCGTGCAGGGTTCTCCCCAGGCCATTTAGCTGATACGGCTCCGTATCAGCTTCAGTTTGAAATCCTCCCTGCCGTATCAGCTTAATTGACCCGTATCACCTTAAACTGTGAACCGTATCACCTTGTTATTTGTACTGAACAGAAGGTGGTCTTTTTACACAAGAAATTGACACTGATTAAATCACACGGCTGACCCAAGTCCATCAATGACCCCACTGGTCAGTTGCACGATAAGCGTATTGCCACAGGGGGCCTGTAATTAGTGGGGAAGGGGACCGGACAACAAGCCCACAGGGCACAGGCGTGCTTATACCCGATAAGGATAATTTATTAAAAATATTTATAATCTGGTCCGATCCTGTATTATAATTTGCAATTCTTTTATCAAATAATTATATATCAAATTATACCCGATAAGAATAATTAGATATTCACTGTTTAGTCCGATCCTGCCCCGATCCTGTAAATCGTCTCCCGATTCTGTAATTCGGACGTTTTATCGACTTTTTTTTATTTTTTAAAGTCGATAAAACGTCAGAATAATCGGACTAGATTCTGTCCTGGTATTTGGTTATATCGGCCCAAGGTAATATCAGCCAGGCCTATTTTACCCAAGTGTAATCGGCCCAAGTTAAAATCGGCCCTACTATGTATCTATATGTTGAATACATGGGATTTATACATTTATAAGTAGAATTATATTTAAATAAATACATTTAAGGATTTATTTAATTACGTACTGGTGTTGTTGTTTTGTTTTTATTGCCTTTCACAAACAATGATGTTCGCCTACCAGACTGTATGCATTGGCTAACTTCCTCATTAATCATATAAAAAAAATCATTCGAATAATTAAATCTAATTATATAATGTCAGTGTTTCAGATTACACACAAAATGATAACTATCATACGCGACGTATATAACAGATTACATTAGTACAGGTTACCTCCCCTTGTGGAACTCGCGACTGAGACAAGGAAATGCAGAAAGGAATTTATTAATTTAAATATATATGTTCAGAGGTTGATATATAAATGAAACCCAAAGAAATGGATTATTATAACATTTATGTATATTCCATGTATACATAGGGCCAATTTTACCTTGGGCCGATTTCACTTGGGTAAATCGAGGCCGTTTTTACCTTGGGCCGATATAACCATAAATCTTCTGTCCTATCCTGTAAATCGTCTGATCGATCAATATCTTCACTTGTGTTAACCAAGATCGAGAGGTAGAAAGCATTCGGAGATATGTTTTAAACAAATAGATAATTACGTTTTTCCACATGTAAAAATATATAATAAACAGTGTCCAAGTTTATAAGTTTATAATAAACATTACGCCCAGCGTCTTGTTTACAAGTCAGTCTGCAAACTGTCACGTCTTGAAAGATACCTAACTTAGGCCTAACTGTAAAAAGTTACTGCAAGTTGCAAGAGCTAGATGAGGTCACCGAATTAACAAACAAACAAAAAATCTCAGTCACATAAAAAATATAAGACGTTTCCATACCACTAAATAATATAAACGAAACCGTTAGGCTACCAGCTGATCTTTCGACCCCTCCAGTATACGATACCGGATCCGGATGAGCCGGAAGCAACACACTCCAAAAGGGTCATCTCAAAAATATTTCTAGCACCGCACGATTATTATTACATTACCGTAACCGTCGTTGTGATAACAAGCGACAACAAGCGTCTGTATCTGTACGTTGTAGTACCCGGTTCCGTTGTTTTTACAACGGGAGACAGAGAGAGCAGTTCAATTTGATTTTTGGTGCGTTATAGCACTCTTAAAGGCCTCCAAATTAGGGGCACATACTACGTTTCCACTCTATAACTGTACGTCCGTGGTACGAAGAATGAGTTTTTGTATTGCGTCATCATACAAAATATTTAAAAATAATTAAATAAATTAAGGAGAGCAGAAAATTTGATATTCAATTTTCCTTTAGTTTTCAATGACTAAGTGGACATTACCGTAGGGAAGGTGGATTGTAACTGTTATATTTGTAAAAATAAATAAATGGTTAATTCCCCTGATTCAAGCACCCAATGGCGATGTCTTCATTCACCCGTAAAATGTGTTGAGAAAGCAAACCAGTCATAGCCGCGTAAGCAGCGGAGGGTGGGGTTGCATTCACTTTTTCGAGGGGAGAGAGGAAAAAATGGTAGTCATTTCAGAATAAATCCACATATGTTGCAGAGTGAAAAGACTGGTAAAAACTTCAAACCAAGAAGCGATAAGACTATACACCTCCGATTTTGATAAAGTATGGAGATACAGCTTTGGTATATATATATATAAGTAGTGAAATTTTATGAGGAAATGACAATAATCGTTAATTTACACATGTACACTTAATGGGTATCCCTTGTGAATATTCGCCAAAAAGATGTTTATTATTCTCGAAAAACCACCATTGACCCATATATCTGAATTTGATTTCTTGCTCAGTTTAAATGAAAGCTACAAATATGAGCAACTGATCTGCAACGTTACAAGTCTATTCGAATTTTAGAAGTAAGGAAGTTGAATATAGAAGGAAAGCTTACCCTAATCTTTGGGCGACCTCGTCTGAGGAGCAGGCAGGCCCGTGCAAAGTTATATCTTATTTCTATCGCACAGGCGCGAACTGAATAAGGTGGACTGTAGATAATACAGCTATCAAAATGCTTATGGGAGCTTGCTGGCTTAATTCATGGTTTAGTGAGCAAACACACGACGTGTTGAATGTACAGGAACATTTTTACAATCCACAGGAAAATATACTTCATGCTTGACGTCATGTGCACTGGGCTACAAAGAAATGAAAAATTCATCACAGCGACTTTGCTATATGAAGTTAGATATGCTACATAAGATAGGTGCGGTGACCACCCGACCGAGTCAATACGTATCGGGTATAAAGTATGATGAAAATACAAAACTCAGATATGTTTACCAAAGCAACAGGATTATGGCGATTAGTTTAAAATTACCTCATACATGAGACGCAAGTTTAAAAGTATCTTTATGTAGTAGGGACCGGTCTAGGTCTTTTGCTCAATCAGAACTCTCTTTTTTTTTAACAGAGACGTTCGTTTTGTTTTGGGAGTCATCGCGCCATTTCACTCATACACTGCAGACTTAATCCTTGGCCGTTTTGGGAAACAAATTAGCTTACCAGAGTCGTATAAAGTAACGTCTCTAGTTTTACAATCAAAACGAACTATGATCTTAATATCTCAAAATATGTCTCCTCTGGTTGTACATCAGCCTGGTAAGGGGCCTGTTCGATCGTTTATGCGGAACAACCGGTTCGTCTGTTTATAAATGTAACTTTTTAGTATAAATCCTAGCGGATCTGCTTATGTTTATGCAGGCCTTACAAGGCTTTTTCAAGGCTCGCCTGAAAACAGCATCTGGTCACTAGGTCCGACCTTATTTCATAAACGAAAAACTGTGGTCCAATCGGTTCAACCGTTTGTATCGCAATACACGAAAGCGGTCCAGCATAGATCACAATATGTTATGGATTATATATTTTATAACGATTTTGTAATATGTAGGAGTCAAAAGAAGAAAAAAAACGGTTCCGTACAACATTCATGATCGGAACTTGTATTGGGTAAAATCAACTTTATTTTGTGTTGTATTGTGTAGTATTGGGTAAATCGACGTGCCGCACTTAGGAGTTACATCCCATTGTTCCAGCATCAGGTTTTACACAATAACTAATTTCTATGTGTATTGAAATAATATGCTTGGTTACATTGCAGTATTATGAGTAAATCTAGCGGAAATTATTGCTAGAATACTACAAGTACATGGGGCTGTAATTAGTAACACTCATTTCATTCGTGGAGCGAACGCACCCTCACTATTGGTCTGCTTTTATTTATCCGGTACAACCGTTTTAATTTTCCCGAAAAATATACTTATATAAACACATTTAAGCCTAACGGTATCTATATATCTATACTAAAGAGATAAAAATACATTATTCTTTAATTTGTTGCTATTTTGACAAAAATAATGTGCCAGATTATCACGAAATATCTAGAACATCTGGACTATTTAGACTGAAGAAACGATAGCGGCCTCGATTTCATGGGTCGTCTCAAGAGTGTTCTTTTGTAAAACGTATGTACGACGATGATTTTAATCAGCGTCAAACGTGGGAAACCGTCTGGAAATCAAAACATGGTTCTGTTTATATTTTTATGACGATTTGATCATATTAACAGCCATGGAGATGCTTGAAACTTGGGTGAATGACAAGCTTCATGACATTGTCGGCATTTCAGACAAGCATATAACCCAGTACATGATAGGATTGGCAAAAAAAGCGGCCTCAACAGAGCATTTTGTCGAGTCCATCAAAGATACCGGAGTCATCGACATCGACACGAACGTTTTAGGTTTTGCCCGGGAATTATGGGGAAAGGTAGCTAACGTACTCCATTGATACGCTCATGTTTTCTTACAAATTAGTTAAAGCAGATAGTAAAGCTCTTTAAGGTAAATCTGTACTGCACCCACTTGTATAATAATGATAATCTTTATTTAACGTCCTGTACATCAGGTCTAGTACACTCTGCCGATTGAGCTATATTATAAATTATAGCTGTATTTAGCTATAATTTCTCAGATTTCAATTTTCATTAAATCAAAGCAAAGTCGCATAAAACAATAAGGTTTATGGTAATGTTGACTACAAAAAGTATACATTTATATGTTTATTTTCATTTTTCATATGAAATGTAAAATTTTCGATTTTTTTTACATCATTATTTTTTACAAAGAACACTGATATTTAATGTCTCTTGTTATCAACCTAATTTTGTTATCAACTTAATTTTAAAATCTTCTTTTAAAAGCGACTGTTTCGTTTTCCTTCAAAAAGAAAATCACATGAAAATTGCGGCAGAGTGTACTGGACCTGTACATTGTCAACAACAGACATTGTTAATGTTAACGGATAGTTTTGTAGAGGAACTGGACTGGGTCGATCGTCAGTGACCTGCAGGTAGCTCAATTGGTAGAGTGTCCTTCTAGAGTTTGGATGGTCCTGGGTTCGAACCCCGGTTTAGCCATTGCATTTCTCTTTCTCCTGTTTCAAAATTGGCAAGCTTGCCAACCTTTGTTTCAAGCAATGGGTGAATGCGTAGCAAGGGGATATATAAACCTGAGTTGCAAATAGTGTTGTCTTCGGGGGCGAACACTTAGAATAAGGAGGGAGGAATGTAGCGGAACTTGACTGGGTCGATCATCGACGACCAGGTAGCTCAATTGGTAGAGGTCTGCCTATCTGAGTTTGGATGGTCCCGGATTCAGGACCATGCTGCATTTCTCCTCCTCCTGTAACAGTTTCATTCATATTAGAGAGATAAAAAATGAAAATATTTTATCTCGAAATTGGTTTACACCCTATAATCAAAATCATGAAAATTCAGATGGCTTATAATTACCTTAAGTGCATTTTCAGTCAGATGAGTTATGAGTATTACTATTCTTGTTAATGTTGGATATATTGAGTAGTGACTGTTTAAAAATAACTGAAGGCTAGTTAACTTGTTAATCTTACTTGAGTAAGATCATTTTCATATTACAAAAGGACACTTGGTAAACCTTGTCTTTTCACTTCAATATAATGTGAAAATTTACTTGATAAACAGCCACCACAGGTTTTGCTTGCTTTTTGTTCCCATAGCGTTCATATTATCAATATCTGAAAAGGGATGTTTATCTTGGAAATACATCATCAGATTCAAATTCCTGTTTCCAATTAGAGAAACAAATGCCATAATTCATTGCATTACAACAGAACTTTCAGATGCTGGCACAAACAATTGTAATGTGACATCAAAATTAAAAGACTGGTCAGTGAAGACGCACCCCGCTAGTTAACAATATAATATAAGGATTGCCTGTTCACTGAATACAGAATAGGCAATTAAAAGTTCTTTTATTTCATTCTCTGATTTGACTGATCATTTGTCAATAAATTTGATTTGTTAAATTGTAGGTACCGCATAAAGCTGAGGCTGAGAAAGTCGGGAGGAAAAGAGAACGAGAGGCACTAGAGTTACAAAAGAAAAATGACAGCTACACAGTTCTGTCGGATGAGGACAGTGAAGAAGAAACTTATTTACCCAAAAAGGTATGACACAAAGTTAAACAAAATCAAACAAACAAACACAAAGTTGTGAAGCCAATCACTGATAATTCATGTGAGTTTATGGGGGGGGGGGGATGGCGTGGATCTATATATCTATATATTATGCATTCTTTATATGTATGTTATACCTCACAGAGACCAAAAAGGGCTTTAATGTGGAGGGTATGGAGTAGGAGCCAATTCAAGGAGGATGTGAAAATTGTGAGAACATGATGTAGAATGGGTTGAGGGACGGATATTGTGAAAATGGTTACACATGATAGGGAAGCAGGAGGGGGTGATTGTGAATATGTTGAGGATATGGATCGAGAAGGAGGGAGGTTTGTGAAAATGGCAAGGCATGTAGGGGGGTTGGGGTTGATTGTGAAAATAGTGAGACCTGGAGTGTGTGAGGGGGGGGGGGGGGGGATTGATTGTGAAAATGATGAGGACATGGAGGAAAGAAGTTAAAATTATGTTTTGATTTTTTTTCCAGCATAACTCATACATTAAAATTTTGATTAAATTTCATTGCAGAAGGAAAAGAAAGATAGAAAGCAGAAACATTTCAGGAAAAAGCGCGAATCGTCTGATGAAAGCAGTGAAGAAGAAAGTCGGTATGTAAGCAAAGTTGTTGGGTGGAATTCTATTTGTTGACTTTATTTGGCCCATTATAAAAAAAACCTCTCAAATATAATATGTATAATTACTTTTTGAAGTGTGATTCATTTTGTGTTTTAGAGGCCAGTTGTTTGACTGACTTTACTATAATTATTCGTACAAACCCAAAACCTGTTACCAAAAATATGAAGATTATTTGTTTTCTCTATCCTTCTGGTTTCTTCTAAAATAAAAAAATCTATAGACTGAATTCTGTAGGACATGTTGTTCTATGATCCTATGGAATTCATTCATGATATTTTAGCGAGGGACTCTGTATATGGAAGTATCCACGACAGGAATGGTCAGAACAGAGCCAAATTTGACTAATAAGGGATGTTTTGTCTCCAACTTTCCTCGGGTGAAATCTATAGACTGTACGTTATGATAACAACAGTATGCTAACAAACACTTCATAAATTTACAAACAAATATAGATTTGTCTTCAGCATTCTCCACTATCAGTCCTCTCGATTATGGAGGTATCTAAGAAAGAGGTCTTTATTCTCTGTCCAATAGCAGATGATAAGACTACAAGTAGGTCCCATTCTTGGCAGACAATGTTGGCAGAAAATGCAAAATTGAGGTTGTTGATTTTGTAATTTGTGACAAATTACAGGATGAACCTTGATAAAGATGACCCGCTGACAGACTCGGACTCGGAGGATGAGTTTGACCAACAGGAACAACAGAGATTACAGGACATTGACGAGAGGGATCAATTTGCCAAACGCCTTCGTGACAAAGACAAAGCCAGCACACGCCAGATCATGTCTAAGTCAGAGAAAAAGGTTGGTGGCACTTTATTTGATTACGCAGTAGGTGTAAACTATAAGAACTTTTCAAACTCTGATCTTTGCACATGTAATCATATACATCAAGTGTGCAGGGTCTAAAGAAAAACATTCCTCATATAGATCCTGACCTGAAGTTCACTGTGTGTCAAAATGAACAATAATGAACAAACACTCTTGCACCAAAATAACATTCTAGCCAACCAGAGCAGAAGTTGTTGAGTTATAAAATCTACTTACAGAGATCCATAAAGAATTGATCAACTTTGGAGGTCAAAGATGTGAGATGAATATTAGATGAGCTGTACAGGTCCATTTCATCTCTTGCTACTGTTGATTAAATGAGCTGCCAACTTAATTCTATTACACTTTTTCTACAAATTTTCTCAAGTAGCAAATATTTAAAAAAAAAATTGAAGCTATTTTATCTTTCACAAAGCATTGAAGTATTGATGTTCAAAGATCTTCTTTGAAAAATCTTTTTTTAATATAAACACTGTTAATTTTAGGCTTTGGAAGAAGCAAAAAAACGTTTGGAAATGGAGGCAGAGGATAAGAAAAAACTTATTCCTGAAATAAGGGAGAAATCCCGACAGGAGTACCTAAAGAAAAGAGGAACACAGAAGCTGGAGGACTTGGAGGCTGATATCATAGATGAGGAGTATCTCTTTTCTGAAACAAAGTAGGACTAAGATTTTATTTTGTTTATAGGGATACTCAGTGTAACTAGAAAAGCATATGCCATCCTATTTCTCACTTGCAAATAGATTGCGTTCATGACCTTCAGCCAACTGAAGAAAATTTCTATAATGACATTGCATGTTTTAAATGTCTTTTTAAACAATAACTGTCTCTACAATCAAACTCTGAAAGCTGTTGGTTGTTCCAAACAAAAGGTATGAGTCACCAAATAAAAGGTATGAGTCACCAAAGCAATTTTGAATATTCAAGTTGGCATTTGTCTTTCACACCATGTTAGTTTCATGTCATTTTCATTTAAATGTATTTTTATCAACCATTTATTGGCCCTAATGACCTCTCCTGGGTTGCCGGACCGTTAATCATAAAATATTAATAATCTACCCATTTCTTATGCAAATATAGTATATTAAAAGCAATTTTTCTTCTTCTTTTTGCAGTTTTAAATACAAACTAAATCTTCAAATCTTGTTCTTCTAAAATGTTTTTGTCTTCTGTTTTGTGTGAAGTCATATATCGATCACACAATCCTTTGATAATCATTGGAAATTTGGAAAGGCTATGGTTGTGAAATAAAATAAATCACAAATGTTGATAATTGGTACAGGTGCAGTGTAATGGTATTTAAATTCCACTCATTTGTTGTTTGTTTTTCTTTTACAATATTTTCAGTCATAAGACAGAAACTTGAGGTTATTTATGATTCACAAAAAAAATTCTCTCCTGAATTTTGCATTTTGCAACAAGTGTAATTTCTGAAACGATGGATGTTAATTTTAGCAAGGTTTTTTTCCAGACTAACAGAAAAGGAAAGAAAAAATCTGAATTATAAGAAGAAAGTTTTGGAAATAGCCAAAGACCATCGACGAGCAGGGGAAAAGGAGAAGGTGAACCGTTACCATATGCCAAAGGAAGACGACAAGCCATCTGAACGCTATGAGGAAGAGGTCCTTGAAAAGGGAGTTAACTCTGAACAACAGCGCTGGGAAGAGGATCATCTTGGTGCTGCTATCATGAAATTTGGGGCGCGTGATGCTAAACAACGAGCAAAAGAAAAAAACAAAACCAAAGACTATGATTTCATCATGGATGAGGAAATAGAATTTGTGCAGGCACTACAGATGCCAGGAAGTAAGAAAACCAAGGTAATTTTGGATTTGTGTTGGCACTACAGACACCAGGCTATCAGAAATAGAACTTAAGTACACACAGGGCCAAATAACAAAAAACAATAGCAATCAAAATAATGAATACACCACTATAGGAGGGATTTGCATCTAAATCTTACTTATTCATCCTTTTGTAAGTAAAGCTTTATCTTTTGCTTACTGTTTCCTGACAACAAATATCTTAAAATTTTGCTTATTTTCTGCCAGATTTGGTCACGTATTGTATACTAGCAACAGAATTTAAATTTACAAATAGATTTTAAAGCAATTTTGATATATTGTCTGTCAGAACAACATTTTAAGAATATTGTATGGACTTTTACCGAAAGTCAACCAAGACTTGGACACTAATCTTACAATCGACGTTTCGTTTAAACGTCACTTGTCATTTTCCTTTGTGACTTTATGTTCAGGATAAAGAGCCAGAGATGTCGGATGCGGAGAGGAAGAAGATGACGATAGAAGAATGTAAAAAGAGCCTTCCAGTGTTTCCTTTCAAGCAGGATTTATTGGATGCTATAGAGGAACACCAGGTCCTCATTATTGAGGGGGAGACCGGGTCAGGAAAGACCACACAGATCCCACAGTACCTACATGAAGGGGTGAGTATACCGTACTTTGGGATATTTTGGATATCAATTTATTTAGGTTGATTTTGCCCTTGGAGTCAAAAGCCAAAATTGAATACACCAAATTGTTACAGTGCCAAAAATATCTTAGCCAACAGCAGCATTTCGGCAGACTGTCTTACAGCCCTAGTAGGGGGATAATATGGGTCAGAAGCCCCAACCTCCCCCACCGGAAAAAATAGTGTACTGATTTAAAGATCTATGTGTCTCAGAATAATTTTACAATGGGTAAATCAAACAAGAAGTAATTGCAAAATCGGGAAAATCTACAATAAAAACAAAAATATTTAATTTTATATCAGCACATTAATTTCTGAAAACACATTCAGTTTGCCACAAGTAGTGTTTTGTTTTTGCTGTTGTTGTTGGTTTTTGTTGTTGTTTTTAATTTGGTGGATTCACCTGCGTACCAGCGTAAAGGCAGCTATATACGCACCTGGAGTCACCTTTACTTAGTTCCACTGACACTAACTTAAATGACATAACATCATCCTTAAAGTTAGATAAGCCAGTCTGAGATTTATGATTGACAGGTATTACATTGTTCATATACAGGGTTTCACAAAGAATGGCATGAAGATTGGATGTACACAGCCGCGGAGAGTGGCAGCCATGTCAGTGGCAGCTCGTGTGGCCGAGGAAATGGGCAAGAAACTGGGAAATGAGGTATGCATAGTGCATATATCAAATACTGTTAATGTAAATTAGACGCACTTTATAGAGCGTTACTGTGTACTGCGTGATCAATTGATTAAGTTTCCACAGATAAATACAAAGAGCAAGTAGATCTGAATGATGCTCTTGTTTGAAGATTATCAGTTTTATAAAAGTGGATTCATAGATTTTATTCTGACAAAATAACGATTTTACAATCCTTTGACAGTCAGCTCTGAAATTAAAAACAATTAAAGAAAAACCAGATTTATTAGATTTTGTCTTTTAAAACTGTATTTCTGCACTTGTATATTCAAATGATTGAACTGTGTTTGAATTTACAACATAAGACAGAAGATTTTTTAAATTTTCCATAAATTAATAGTTCTCTGCGTAAATGAAAATTTTCCAATGTTTAATCTTGAATGCGATTTGTAAATTTTAAAATTATGTCCACATGCAGATGAATTTTCCCTAATTTTGAATATTACGGACTTAATGATACAGGAGATGAATTTTGACTAAAAAAGAGTAATTACATTAACCTACAGTATTAATTAGAATTCACACCATGTGAACTTTGATAAGACTGAATGAGACTTATATCATATGAATAAATAATCTTGATACTTTTTGCGTTTTGTAGTACAGGGCGTTGATGGTTAGTAAATATTATAATTGCAGGTTGGGTACAGTATCCGTTTTGAAGATTGTACCTCAGATAGGACTATCATAAAGTACATGACAGATGGTATGTTACTGAGAGAGTTCCTGGGGGAGCCTGACCTAGCCAGTTACAGGTATGTTTAAATTAAGACTTTGACTCGCCCTTAGGGCCAGAAAGGTGGGGCCCAAAAGTGGGGTATGCTACTGAGAGAGTCTCGCGGGGAGCCTGATCTTGCACAGGTATCAGGTATGTTTAAATTAAGACCCTGACTATTAGACCCTAGGGCCTGAAGGGTGGGGCCCTAAATGGGGTTATTTTACTGAGAGATTTCCTGAGGGAGCCTGATCTAGCCAGTTATAGGTATGGTTAAATCTAGACCCTGTTCCCCCCTAGGGTCTGAAGGGCTAGACACAAAAAGGGGGATATGTTACTGAGAGAGTACCTCGGGGAGCCTGATCTAGCCAGTTATAGGTATGGTTAAATCTAAACCCTGTTCCCCCTAGGGTCTGAAGGGCCGGGCCCCAAAATGGGGTATGCTACTGAGAGAGTACCTCGGGGAGCCTGATCTAGCCAGCTACAAGTACGTTTAAATAAAGACCCTGACTCACCCCTTGTGTTTACTGAGAGAGTACAAAGTACCAGGGGGAGCCTCTCACCTGGGAAATATAGGAGATGTGGTCAGTGAAAACATTTCAACTTCTTATATAGGTTAGCAAGAAAGATGCAGGTGAAAGATACAGGTTTATTGGGCCTCTTGTGGAATATTGTAAAAAATGTTTACAAGCATATGCTTTTGAAATGTACAAGCTGAACCTGTCGAAATTGATAGTAAAGTTGTTTGTTGAGAAATTCCAGTGTGATGAATCAATAATTGATAATTGTAATTTGTGGATCAATAATTGATAGTTGTAATTTGTGGATCAATAATTGATAATTGTAATTTGTGGATTAAATTATGTTAATAACAATAAGTGTAACTTGTTAATTGTTGAATTCCAGTGTGATGATAATTGATGAGGCCCATGAGCGTACCCTCCACACAGATGTCCTGTTTGGACTGGTCAAGGACATCGCCCGCTTCAGACCAGACCTCAAGCTTCTCATATCAAGTGCTACACTGGACGCAGAAAAATTCTCCGCGGTAAAGAACAATACTGGTGTTATACTAAGGGCCTGTTCGTTTATGCGGAACAACCGGTTCGTGTTTTTAAATGTAACAGTTTTTGGTATAAAATATAAATCCTGGCAGACATGCAGAAGTTAATGCAGGCCTTGCAAAGCTTTGTCAAGGCTCGCCTTAAAACAGCATCTGATTACTAGGTCTGACCGTATTTCCTAAACGAACAACTCTGGTCCCACCGGTTCAACCATTTGGATTGCAATAAACAGATATGTAATAATATGGGAAATGACTGTTCCAGTACGAAATGATTTTCAAATAACATGGGAAAAAGCAAGGATGCTTCATTTCAAAGGTCTAGGTCACTTGGTTTAGAAAACACAATTTGCATTCATTTTAACCAAGTTTTAGGAGAACCCTTCTTGTATTGTAAAGTACAGGCACATCAGAAGGTACAATAAAACAACTATCATGTATATGGTCTAAATATGATGCTTATATTAACTTGAAAAAAAAATTATTGCTCTATTTTGTATTGTAGTCTCCCAGATCCTGACCAGTATGAAATTAACATGATCAGATTTTAATATATAAGATATACCTATCTACCTGTATTACTCTTATACCTCAGAAAAATATTGTGTGGCTGTTTCAGTTTTTTGATGACGCCCCCATCTTTCGCATTCCTGGGCGACGTTTTCCTGTGGACATCTATTACACCAAGGCTCCAGAGGCTGACTACCTTGATGCTGCTGTTGTGTCTGTACTGCAAATCCATGTAACACAGCCTAGCGGTGACGTCCTGGTGTTCCTCACAGGCCAGGAGGAGATTGAGTCATGTAACGAGATGTTACAGGTTAGTTACGTTGAGTACAGGTGAATCATTTAACCAGATATTACAGGTAAGTTGATATACAGGTGAATTATTTAACGAGATGTTACAGTACGGTAAGTTATGTTAGCATACAGGTGAAGAGTTTGATAATATGTTATATCTTACAGGATAACCAGATAATTTGAAAGACAGTTTCATTTTCTAAAAAGAGTCTGAGGAAGTGTGTTATTATTATCAGATGTTTTTGTTCCATGAGTTATTGAGATTTGTTTATTTTACAGGAGAGAACTAAGAAGCTTGGGAGTAAGATAAAGGAATTAATCATCTCGCCGATCTACGCCAACCTTCCATCAGACATGCAGGCCAAGATATTTGAGCCCACACCCCCAGGAGCCAGGAAGGTGAGTTGATGTAAAACTTGCCGTTCGTGTGATGGAGAACAGATACTTTATTTTGTATGATGGTCAGGATATTAAACAGCAGCTTCCTTATACTGATACAGTAGCTCAGCTTTGAATCACAAAAAGGTTTGCAATAAAAGACTGTCATTTAAAAAGTAAGCTCCATTGAATCATTAGGAAAGTTAATGTATTAAATGTGTTAAATGTACTAAATATGTTAAAAAGTAGTCAATGTACTCATGTATATCTTCTCTGATAAAATGATATTTGTCTACTACAGGTTGTCATAGCTACCAACATAGCCGAGACATCTTTGACAATAGATGGCATCAAGTATGTCATAGATCCAGGCTTCTGTAAACAGAATAGCTACAATGCTAGGACAGGCATGGAGTCCCTCATTGTCACACCTATATCTAAGGTAAATCACACATGTATCACTGGTAAGGTGTCCTTGACACCTATATCTAAGGTAAATCACACAGGTATCACTGGTAAGGTGTACTTGACACCTATATCTAAGGTAAATCACACATGGATCACTGGTAAGGTGTACTTAACACCTATATCTAAGGTAAATCACACATGTAATCACTGGTAAGGTGAACTTGACACCTATAACTAAGGTAAATCACACATGTATCACTAGTAAGGTGTAATTGAGACCTATATCTAAGGTAAATCACACCTGTATCACTGTAAGGTGTACTTGATACCTATATCTAAGGTAAATCAAACCTGTATCACTGGTAAGGTGTACTTGATACCTATAACTAAGGTAAATCACACATGTATCACTGGTAAGGGGTACTTGACCCCTATATCTAAAGTAAATCAAACATGTATCACTGGTAAGGTGTACTTGACAACTATATCTAAGGTAAATCACACATGTATCACTGGTAAGGGGTACTTGACCCCTATATCTAAAGTAAATCAAACATGTATCACTGGTAAGGTGTACTTGACCTCTATATCTAAAGTAAATCACACATGTATCACTGGTAAGGTGTCCTTGACACCTATATCTAAGGTAAATCACACATGTATCACTGGTAAGGGGTACTTGATACCTATATCTAAGGTAAATCACACCTGTATCACTGGTAAGGTGTACTTTACACCTATATCAAATGTACTGTGGAAGTTAGATTATAGGTGTAGCTCACACTGGGATCAAAGATAAAGAATACTTTTTTTTTTTTTAATAAAATGCTATTAAAGGTGAACAAACAATAGCCACATAATGTATGACCAGGTCATGCACAGATATAGGCATCAAAGCACTATACAGTATGAGTAGTCTTCATGGGCCAATCAGTGGTTCACAGCAGCTTCATGCATGGTAGGGAACTCTCTGCTTCTTTAAGATGTTGATGCACTCGGCTCTTGAAGGACCGAGCACCATCAACACTGATTACTCCAACTACGCTGTCTGGGAGTCCGTTCCAGACATGGACTGCAGCATGGATGAAACTGCTATCAAAGATAATAGGGTATACGCACACCTATATCAAATAAAGACATGTATATGACAAGAGGGTCTACATTGCAGATCAGCTTTTGGCTTTATTACACAATTATATGGTATACTTTTGGTCAATACCACATACAATATTTGTCCTGCAATTAGCCAAGGGGGCTAACATACAATCCCGTACTGAAAGTAGGGGGATGGACTTATTACAGGATAATCAAAAAGCTTTTGTTGGTATTTCTTCCTACCTGCAATATATATTGGTGGGCTTATCATTTAATATCAAGCATGGGCTGATTGCCGGATAAATATGGTAATGTACGGCCAGTTTTTATCAGGGAATTTCTCTCCCTGAAATTATAGTCCTGTAAATTATGATTTATTTGTCATTTGTTCAATCCAGGCCTCAGCTAACCAACGAGCAGGTCGTGCGGGAAGAGTGTCTGCGGGGAGGTGTTTTCGTCTGTACACGGCTTGGGCGTACAAAAACGAGCTTGAAGATAATACAATACCAGAAATCCAGCGAACTAACCTGGGAAATGTGGTGCTCATGCTCAAGTCACTGGGCATCAATGACCTTATTCATTTTGACTTCATGGACCCACCACCCCACGAGACCCTTGTCCTCGCCCTGGAACAGTTGTACGCTCTCGGGGCTCTCAACCATCGTGGAGAGCTCACTAAACTGGGGCGTCGCATGGCTGAGTTCCCCGTAGACCCCATGATGTCCAAAGCTATATTGGCATCGGAGCAGTGAGTTTGCCTACTCTGTTTTAGGTTGTATATTAGAAAAGGTCTAAAAGAGTTTTCCTCTGGTATTTGAAAGTCATTGATCATGACTAAACGATTTTGTCTTGCATATATATATATTTACACATATACATGAATGTCAAGCCTAGGCTGCAAAATTAAATGTCAAATGTACTTCAGATAATCCATATGAAAAAAGATAACCTGCACAAGTGTTTTGAATGTTCAAATGATTAAAATCAAACTTTGTCTCATATATTTGTCTCAAAAATAGGTAATAAGTTGAAATTTATATTTAAATAATTGATCTCTAATGTGGCAACTTATTCTTGCAGTCATCATGAGATAGCTTTAAATTCTAACGTTTTTTTCGATTACGTAACAAGTCATGCTGTTAAAACAACTAATTTTAATATGCCAATGCTGATATGGTACACACATGTAACTTCAGTATGTGTTTCGTTTCAGATACAAGTGCTCTAAGGAGATCCTGTCGGTTTGTGCTATGCTGTCCGTCAATAACGCTATATTTTACCGCCCTAAAGACAAGGTCGTCCATGCTGACACAGCTCGACAAAACTTTTTCCGTCCAGGTGGTGACCACCTGACCCTGCTGAATGTGTACGACCAATGGGAGGAAACCTCTCACTCCACACAGTGGTGCTACGAGAACTTCATTCAGCATCGGTCCATGAAGCGAGCTCGGGATGTCCGCGACCAGCTGGAGGGGCTATTGGAAAGGGTGGAGATCGAGATGACCACCAGCCCTGGTGACACCATAGCTATCCGCAAGGTCAGTCAGACAGTCACCTACCAAAACACTGTATTACTCATCAAAAGCAGCAAAGCCGTTTTTTATACGCCCGTCAAATTTGACGGTAGTATTGTGGTATGGAGTTGTCTGTCCATCCAGCGTAAACTTTTGTTTGTCTCCTCCTACATTTTTCGACCGATCTTTTTGAAACTTGGTATACATTATGATCATAATATGAAGTTGTGTCTCCCTTAACAGAATTTTGCTTCGACAATCTTTCCAAAAGTTATTGCCCTTTGTTCATTTCAGTATTTGATTATTATTGTCCGGAGATCTCCTACACTTTTTTACGGATTTCTTTGAAACTTAGTAGGCTAAATAATCATGATATGCTGTTGTGTTTCCTTGAAAAGAATTTTGATTCAACAATTTGTGCAAAAGTTATTGCCCTTTGTTTATTACAGTTTTGATTTTTGTCCGGCGATCTCCTACATTTTTTATAGCATGTCAGCTAACCACTCTTAGAATGATGCAGAACTTATTTCAATGTAAGAAAGTATATAACACTATATGGCATTCAACGGGCGAATATAGTTCCGCCCCGCGGTACTCTTGTTTCCTTGCTCATGGAATTCATTTTGATATTTTAAAATTAATGAATGAAAATTCTAGCAATAATACAAGATGATTATTAAATTTGAAAAAAGCATTGTGATGATCAGATAAATATTTACTTTCAGGAAACCAGATTAAGAATCCCAATTTAAAACTTTTAAACACAAGTTACTGACAAATTAATTGCATGGAGTACAAAACATGAAAAACAAATACAAGAATTTGTGTCGCCTGCTCAGCGCTTTTAGTAAAAATAAGTTGAAACTCGACAGAAAAAACCTGTAAGATATTTTAAACATTATTGCTTCTAGAATTACCGTACAAAATTTAAAAGGAATTGATTCAAAAATAAAAAAAAGTTCTTGCATTTACTACACAATGCCCTTATTTGGCAATAAAAGGGGCATAACTCCTCTAAAAATGCATGTAAACTTCTGAAATGCGAAATTGTTTGAGCTATATTGGTATCAATATGTGTACTAAGTTTGAGTTCAATCAACCAAAGGGAACTTAAGTTATCATCACACTGAAACTTCGGACTACGCAACCAACGACGACAAAGTTATTACCTATATGTCGCCTCGTGTGGCAGGCGACACAAAAACAATTATTTACGTAACATTTCCAAATAGAGCCCTGATGTGTACTTCCCAACTTTGATTTTTTGACAGGCCATTACTGCTGGATTTTTCTACCACACTGCACGACTTGGCAAGGGAGGTAATTACCGGACTGTGAAGCATCAACAGACAGTCCTGGTCCACCCCAACAGTAGCCTATTTGAGGACCGACCTCGCTGGCTTATTTACCATGAACTTGTGTTTACTACCAAAGAGTTCATGAGACAGGTATACCATACTGCATGCCATACTGAATTTCTTAAATCTTGTCCCCTTTTGCTTTAGTTCAAAAATCAATTTATCAATTTTTATAAAAACAAAATATGAATGTATGTTATGAAGGTATTCTTTAAATAACATTCCTATGTAGCTATAAAGGTATTCTTTACGTAACATTCCTATGTAGCTACAAAGGTATTCTTTACATAAAATTCCTATGTAGCTATAAAAATATTCTTTTAATAAAATTCCTATGTAGCTATGAAGGTATTATTTACATAACATTCCTATGAAGCTATAAAGATATTATTTACATAACATTCCTATCTAGCTATAAAGGTATTCTTGACATAACATTCCTATGTAGATATAAAGGTATTCTTTACACAACATTCCTATGTAGCTATGAAGGTATTCTTTGCATAACATTCTTATGTAGCTATAAAGGAATTCTTTACATAACATTCCTAGGTAGCTATAAAGGTATTATTTACATAACATTCCTATGTATCTATAAAGGTATTCTTTAATTAACATTCCTATGTAGCTACAAAGGTATTCTTTACATAAAATTCCTATGTAGCTATAAAAGGATTCTTTAAATAACATTCCTATGTAGATATGAATGTATTCTTTACATAACATTTCTATGTAGCTATAAAGGTATCCTTTACATAACATTCCTATGTAGATATGAATGTATTCTTTACATAACATTCATATGTAGCTATAAAGGTATTCTTGACATAACATTCCTATGTAGATATAAAGGTATTCTTTACACAACATTCCTATGTAGCTATAAGGGGATTCTTTACATAACATTCCTCTGTAGTTATTAAGGCATTCTTTACATAACATTCCTCTGTAGTTATTAAGGCATTCTTTACATAACAATTCCATGTAACTATAAAGGTATTCTGTACATAACATTCCTATGTAGCTATGAAGGTATTCTTTGCATAACATTCCTATGTAGCTTTAAAAGTATTCTTTAAATAACATTCTTATGTAGCTATACAGGTATTCTTTACATAACATTGTTATGTAGCTATAAAGGTATTCTTGAAATAACATTCCTATGTAGCGATAACGGCATTCTTTACATAACATTCCTATTTACCTATAAAGGTATTATTTACATAACATTCCTATGCAGCTATAAAGGTATTATTTACATAACATTCCTATCTAGCTATAAAGGTATTCTTTGCATAACATTCTTATGTAGCTCTAAAGGAATTCTTTAACTAACATCACTATGTAACTATAAAGGTATTATTTACATAACATTCCTATCTAGCTATAAAGGTATTCTTTACGTAACATTCCTATGTAGCTATAAGGGGATTCTTTACATAACATTCCTCTGTAGTTATTAAGGCATTCTTTACATAACATTCCTATGTAGCTATAAAGGTATTCTTTAAATAACATTCCTATGTAACTATAAAGGTATTCTTTACATAACATTCCTATGTAGCTATAAAAGTATTCTTTAAATAACATTCCTATGTAGCTATAAAAGTATTCTTTTAATAACATTCCTATGTAGCTATGAAGGTATTCTTTACATAACATTCCTATGTAGCTATAAAAGTATTCTTTAAATAACATTCCTATGTAGCTATAAAGGTATTCTTTAAATAACATTCCTATGTAGCTTTAAAAGTATTCTTTAAATAACATTCCTATGTAGCTATAAAAGTATTCTTTCAAATACAGCAGTACTGTATACCAGGATTTTTTTGCCTGCTGAAACTTTCGCCCTTTGTCAGTATAATCCATATTCACCCAATGTTAATTTCGCCCTTCACATTTAGTTACTATGCATATTATGCTGTATACTAATGTTTTCTCTAATGATAAATAGTTTAAAGCTAAACTGCAGTCAACATTTCTCGGTATGCAGTATATTGTTTTTTGAACACTGACTGGACTGATGCTGTGTGTTTCAGGTGATAGAGATAGAGAACTCCTGGCTCCTAGAGGTCGCACCTCACTACTACAAGTCTAAAGAACTGGAGGACACCTCAAAACGGAAAATGCCAAAAAATACAGGGAAAACTCTGGATGATGTTACAAGACAGTATTGATCTACAAAGGGATTTCTTTTATGAAGTCATGGAAGCCAACTGTGTGCCTTAGATTTTGAGTTGTGAATGTAAACTTAAAGACTGTTTTACGTGTGACTGTCAGCAATGTGAAAGCTATACATACAGAAAAGTTTGAGGATGTAATGGAAATTACATAATGGAACCTATTGGAGCTCTTCAGTTGGATTCATAATGACAAGTGAATCATGATAAAAATGTTTAACACTTCTAATTCCACTGTGCTGTAACTCACATTTACATGATATTGTCAAAAAAACACAGCTGGTCAAAATAGCTGTCAGGTCAATAGACCACTGGTAATAATGACAACAATGAAGGTATAATTTTGTATCCCTCTCTCCAATGGGGGGAACAATCCCATAACGATTCATCGTCACAGCTCTACCAACTTTTATTTCTCAACAGATTTTCATCAAATGTCAAAGGTCACTGTTGCTATTATTGGTCACCCATTGTTATTTTGTCAACATATTCTTAGTCATCAGTTTACAGACTACAGGGGTAGGGGGACATTACAGTTTCTAGTTTTTACTTTATTTTGACAAGTACACAATCACAGTCATGTAAAATGCATATTTTGGGATATTTTGGGCTAGTGGTTTTGTATCAGTCAAAACATAATTTAAACTATGAACAGAAAAAACATGTTTATATATATATATATATATAAAAAAGGGATTAAATGTCCATGTAAAGGAGGTAAATATAGAAAAAAAAAGATTAACGACCGACTAAAAAACTAGCTGCTTTCACCCTTCACAGGGCTCTTCAGGTTTATTCAAAAGAACAACGTCGTGACGTCACAATTACATGTCATCACACTACAATAGTAACGTGACGTCAGTTGGTCTTCTTTCGTTTCTCTTAAAATAGTGTCTGATGAAAATAATTGATACAAAGGTAATACATTAAATTTATCTCCAGCACATTCATGAATATGTTTGTTAACATGAAGATTTCGTAAAGAATCAGTTCTAGTTATTCTGTACCTCGAATGAATTTAGATGAGAGGGAGGGTAGATTTGACGGATGATTTGGTGTGTGAATTTGTATGACTAATATTTGTACATTGTGTGCAAGACTGGTTGACTTGCTGTGTGAAGAGAACATGACTGGTTAGATGGATACTGTGTATGCTGGTCATACCTGGAAACAAGTTTAACATTTTTGTTATCTTTTTGTAAAAAAATATCAATAAATTGTACATAACATGCCAATATGCATCATTAAGCCTTCATCTTTTCTTGCCAAATAGGAAACTAGTTCATTTAGAAATTCATTTAGTAGAGAAAATCTATAATGCAGTACACTAACTTGCTGTAGAAACCTGTCTTGTCATGTGATTGATACTTTTTGCTGTCAAAGTTGCATTGTCCATGCATTAAATAGAAAAACAGGACTAAAAAATTCAATTTGGTTGTTCAGGGTTACACATCCTGTCAACAGCTAACGTCATTGAGGACATGCCGTCATGTGTGCTGTGTATGCTTGCATGAGTGCTTCGGGCAGGGTATGTTGTGTATTTGCCTCCTTGTGATGGTGCAGATCTGATGCCAACTTCATTGTGCTACCAATAACAGTGTTTGATTTTTTTTAAATTTGACGCTAGAAGGTGCACCATGCCATGGGTTCATTGCATATCAAAGATAAATATAATAGGAAAACAGAACAACTTTCGGTAAGAAATATATAAATATTTGTTTATTTCTAAAAAAAAAGTATACATCCAGTACAATCATCAATGATAAGGAATGTAGATTGTATCTTTGTATAAATCATGCATAGCAAATATATTGCAAAGCCCAAAAGGACACCTCTTCTATGAAAATATTAACAAAAACATCTGTTTTTAATGAAATTTAATAACAGTTAACTATTTTATCATTGTATTCAACTTTTAATAAAGTAAAGTAACAATCACATTTTTTGCTGAAAATATTAGCTATGCTGTAGCATGATCAGCAGTGTAACCATCCCCATCACTTTGACAAACATATATTGTCTAGTTGAAGAACCAACTTATAAAGTAAGTGGTAAATAAGTATCAAATACATTTTGAGAGAAAATAATCTTAAATTATTTGTATGTATAATGAAGATCACTGTGTATAGAGTTGTCACTTTTTCTTGTAATCCGGAAATGCTTGCCACATCTGAGCACGTTGATGAAGTACGTCCGGTGTGTCGTGAGCATAATCCAATGCATCCGCATTCCATATTCCTACTCCACGCAGGTCATACTGGAGCGCCATATCAAACTTGAATTTCAAACTCACAGGGTCCTCGTACCTGATCTGGTAGGTTGTTCCCTGTTTAAGTCATAGAAAAGAAAAGAAAGCAAAAAATTTGAAACACGTGTCGTCAAAAACCTTCAAAATGAAGGTCAAAATACAAGTACAGTGAAATAAGAGTGGAGTGTTGGATCTGTACCTCTCAAGAATGTAGCTAGATCAAGTAAGTATTCATTTACCCTTAAAACCCAGAAATCCTCTAATTGTTCTTCTCTTTGATTTCTCTAGATTAATGACTTATTTTTAGTTTGTGGTGCTTTTTAAAAACATTATTTATCTTCTAGTGTAATATTAACATTTTAACACTCCTTCTATGTCTGTCTGCTTCGGGTTATTTGTTTCAAGGTAGCACTTCTATGCGTTTGATTTAGGTTACACCAAGCCACATAATAAGAGTTAAATTTAAGCTTTATGCAGGCTACGTGGTTTACGTACGTTATCTTTGTAGTTGAAATACGGAGTGAGAGTAGAAGTCTCCCACAGTCGTCCAGTCGTTGAGTTTTGGATGATGCGCATGAAGAAGCTGTAGTCCATCTCTCTTCCGGCGGCGTCACTACAGTTTACACCTCGGAACGGCACATGTTTGATACTACATGTATTGTCCTGTTGTAATGTAAGGGTATATACTGTAACTGTTGTATTACACATGGTACATAACCGTATACATTAGAGGGGCTGGTCAGGGAAAAAATTACAAAATTAATGGGTCTAAATGCGTTCTCTGGCCTTCCAAAAGTTATACCACAGCAATTTGATGGTCGAGTTCTGCTTGCAATGTCCAGTTTTGACCACTAAAATATTGGGGAAGCCCCGCGTCAATTTAGCGCAGATCTATTTATATATGTCGCGTGGTTGTTTCGAAAGTGAGGCAGTGAAGATAACAACAATAGCACGCTGTCTATCAGCCATGTCGGACTCAACTAGCTGACAAGACAGCAATACTATACGTAAATAATTGTTTTCAAAGGTCATGTATGATGCAAGTGTAGTATTCCTACCTATATGTTGTTGTGTTATATAACGGTATTGATACCTTGTGCCTGTCATGACTTTTGCATGCATCTTTTTCTTTCGCAGCGATGTTTACCTTTGGCCTTGTTGATGACGCGCATGCGGTAAAATTACATCACTGATTTGGGTCATTTTTAGTCTCATGGAGTGAATTTCAACAAAATTTGAATCGGTATATTTCATAAGAAGGTATTTTAAACATGTGTATGTCATTTTAGCAAATATGACATTTTTTTTTCCGACCAGCCCCTTTAACATAATGGTGTCCACACACAAAAACAAAACATGATAGCGTTGACACCAAAACAAAATCAATGCATCAACGCACAAAAACATACCACAGCGTCAACACAAAAAAACTACATAATGTAGCTGGAGAAAATCAGATGAGACAAGGCCATTTCTGTTCAGTTTTGGATGTATACCTCTTTCAGAAGAAAAACCAATGAGTTGCTAAACTGTTTTGTGCTGTATGATAGATGTTATATTTCTTCTTACAATTGGTTTTATTTGCAGACGCTCATTGATAATGCCAACCCGCTTAAATGGCACAAAACAAAAATTGTTACACACGATACAGGCTATTTTATACATGCATTCCTCTCTAGGCAAATGAAGTTTATACATGTAGACAACCAATGTGAGTAAGTTTATGAAGTTGAGGTTTTGTTACTATGCGTCTAGTCTCTATATATAGTTTGTGTTATGTTAAGAATCATTGTTATGAGTAACCGACATGGTTTTCGTGTGGTCTTGCTATTTCCGTCAGAATATAAAACCTTTGTGAATATATACATATCCTGTCAATACACCAGATCATACCTTTGTTACGGCCACACAGGGGTAGTAGTAGCCATACCAGGGGACACCTAGTACCAACTTTTCTGATTGTATGCCCAGGTGAAAGTACTTCTGTATGCCTGAAACAGAGAGGAGACATGTGTACAGAAAACGGGAACCTAGATGAACAGAAAACGTCAAGCATGTACACAGTAAGTATCAGACATGGATGCGTACAACAGACACATAACAAAGCTAAACCACATTTAATAGGATCGAATCAAACCTGATTGTGTTTTGTAGAATCCGGAGTTAGCCAACGCCACACACGGGCCACGGATCTGACTCTGTTCATCGTAGGACATGACAAACAGGAAGTCGGTGACTGTAGCTAGAGTCTTGTAGTCATAGCAACGCTGGTCAATACAGGCTGGGGACCACGCCACGTCCACCGTTATCTGTGGGAAAAATGTAGTGATTTGATTCTTTTTTTTCGTTCAGTATCAAAAATGGTTATTATGTTCCATTTGTATGTGCATACATTTAACTAAAATGAAATTTCCAAATGATGGTTTACTTTTATTCTTAATCAATAACCCAGAGATGATCATGTATAAAAACGAAGGGTTGAGCATGCAAGTTGTTGCCAACCTGATTGTTTTATGCCACTACGACATGACTGAAATTTTAAGGCTTTATAACCCATAATTACAGACCAAGAAAAGTCTATTTAACCTCAGACCCTGTCAATTTTCTGGTTATGGTAATACATTACAGATGTTTTGTTCCGCTATCTATGACATTCACATTTGCCTTTTGTTGTGCCTTAAACAATTGGAGTTCTTCATTAAGCAAAAATAAAGTGTTTTTTTTCTAAGCATTTACGTATGGCGATTTGAAATTAACTGTATGTAAAGTTGACATGACTAATTTGATGTTTTGACTGGAATGCTTGGCTACTGAAAGTATTTCATTGCCCTGCATCCTTGAAACTCCAGGAGTTACATTCTCTCACATTCTTTGCAACGTGGAATATTTAGGATTTTAAGCTCGAGGCTCTGTATGCGCCACCTGTGACTGATACAAGTATACCATTGTGATTCTTTGATCTACATCAAACAAATTGCACAGCAATGTAATGGTAAAACTAACTCCTTTGTAATCCACGGGTGCAAAAGTATGTAAGTAAGCGTAACCCCTGGTGTTTCAAGGATGATTGACCCGAAATGCTTAGCGACTGAAAGCAGCTTGGTTTGCCTGAAATGCTTTGTAACTCAATTTACCCACTCACCCCTAAAGTCACATTTGACATACCAAATCAAAGAAATGTCAAGTCCAGTTTAAATATGCAGGGCTAAATGAGTTAACTTGGTTAACCTTGAATGCTGGGTAACATATATTTATATTAGATCATTAACCTGATATGATGGATTGTATTGTTTGAACGTCTTATAGGTCCGTCTGACCAATGCTGTGTATCCGTCCCTCAAGTCTGTCCTCTCAGCTGGAATAGGGTTTTCGTAATCAAAGTTGATCCCGTCTAGGTGGTTCTGGGTGACGACGGCCAGATACTTTGTCACCCACTCCTCCTGGAGGGTAGCGTTTGTCAGGTATTCTGTGGGAACACCCGCTGCAGTCAAACAAGATTGTCAAGGTTGTTTAAAATTTGTTTAATCAAATAACTTAGACAAGAAGATGAGTTAGTATAAACAGGGATCTTTTACATACAACCAACATAATTATCAAAATTTCAAAGTATTCCCGGTAATAATATGATTTATCGAACATTTACTAATACTGCATCAAATAACAGACAACTAGACCATCAACTTCACTCTTTCGAATGGTTACTTCAGATCGAATATCTTTTCAATTTAATAAAATAGTGTTTTTTTATTAAGATTGCCAGCTTTGAACAACATGTACATATTTATCAAGTGATCGATTTTTGTTTTGAAAATGAAATATTTGATCTCAACTTGAGCAATACTCAAAAAGTTTTAGTGGTACATGTATCACTCAATGAATTTATCTTTTCAACAAATGTGTATGTGTACTAGACACATTTCCTTATACAATGTATCATCTAAAATAAATGGAATTTCAAAAATAAACATGTACCTATTGTGACAACCCGGGCCCCGTTACTATGCGCAAGACACATCATTTCGTCACTATAGTAACCGACCATGACGACAGTGCTTATCTTTGTCCAATTGTACTTCTGCCATGTTTGGATATCTTTACTTAATGAAAATACGAAGACCTGCAAATGAAGATAGAAGACCGTCATGCAATATCAAAATGTATTAAAGATCCCTGTACCACTGCCAAAAGTTAAACTATGACTAAGCATTGGAACAGATTTTTCTGGCATGACTATAGCTTTGATAAATCTATTCCGAAAAGAAAACCATACCTAACGGGTCTTTTATGAAAAACAACAAAGATGAAATGAACAAAATATTAATCATCAACAGTGTTCGAGTTACAAATATATGGGTTACACTGGGATTTGAACCTTGGACTTCAGTGAGTGAGTATGACTATCACCTTAGCTACATGTTATATTTTACTGAGCTACAGTACCTGGTCAATGGAAGTATCCTGGCCAACATTTCTACAGTTATATCCTAAACGAAGTTAAGGGCATCCTCAATATCCAGGGGTTACGCTCATTTTCGCTTTCTACACCCCTGGAATGTATCGTAGCAAAATCGAAGGCTCAGTGTGCACAACCTTTTGGGCAAGAATCTGGTCGCGTAACGGTAAAACTTACTGGCTTTGAAGTCGGGCGTTGTTCCTCTGTAATCTTCAAAGGACAAGTATCAGCCTAGTGATTGGTCAGGATTTTTTTACCCGACACCAATCAAATAGCTAGCCACGTGCCTTCGATTTTGCTATGACATATTCCAGGGGTGCAGAAAGCGAAAGTAAGCGTAACCCCTGGATATCGAGGATGAATTAAGGGGGAGGTTACTGCATGTATGTACGAAAAACCAGTGCAATAGGGACAAGGTTCCTTAACATCACTTAAAGCTCTTAAATCAATTAATCAATGAAATACAACTGATTTAATTTTGTAACATGTAAATAAATATAGAAGTTTTAAATAAACAGCATGATTCCCTAAAATTGAATGCACATGAGGTGCTTGAATTGACTGGCCATACATGTACACCAGTAAACATTCAGATCTACCAAAGTTACAACTATTATTTATAGTCGAGGTATTGGCATATCGGTTCACGATTCGTTTATATATTGGGGCTGAAATTTTGTCAAATGTGTCACAAATGTGTGGCTGAGGACATGACGAACACGACCAGTATAATTTGTCTCCCCTGAATGACTACATGTATTAAGTGTACATGCTTTCTCTCTGAAATAGTTTATTATACCACATGGCTGCCAAAAGTTGAATTTACGTAACTTTCTTTTAAATTTTACTAAGTTCTGATAATAACTTTTTAAATACATTATTTTTTCAACGTTTTTGATATTTCACATCCAGAACTTTAAATTTTGGTTTCGGTGATACACGGACTAATTTTGTCATTGTGCGTTTAAATGGTTAAATACGGTACGATTATCACTGAGCTGCTGTGACGGGTGGATATCGATCGTGGTACATAGATCTAGAGTAACATCATATCGACGATTAATTACCACGACAGAGAGATCTATTAAATTATCAAATAAAATATATACACCTGTACGATAAAGCCAAGTCAGGTAAAGAATTATGACACCGGTATAAAGAGATAAAATTTGCTGTCGGAGCACGGTCATTTTGATAAGTGTGGCTAGCGGGATGTACTTTCCTTTACCTCTTTTCTTTTCGTATCCACTATTGGTTTGCAAAGTGCCGGAATGGAACAAGGGCAGTCTGCCTTTCCAGACGTCAGGGATATTTTCCCATGTCACAGCGAGAAGGAGAAACAAAACAAGAATACCTATCCGTCCCATCGTCTGTATTTATTCGGTGTTCTTACAAATTTTGCCCCTCGAATATAATACCCGGCTTGCTTATCATCACAAGCACAGGGACACGAGAATTTTGTTACATAAGCTTTATATCTTTGGATCAAACTAAGATCTCCAGAGTAATTTTACAAGATTAAGGGGTTTAGTTAGATCAACTGTCGGTAAGAATACCACCCCAAAAATGATACTCGTTGGGAGTCCATTCCAATGACGTAAATGTACGCTACGCGCCAGTTGCTTGACCGTCTAATCAGATTGATTGACCGTCGCGCTTGGATCTAGTTTGTCAAATATGTCTCTTTTTTATCAATATATAAAAATGAGACAACGTGGATCGCCAAGTGTTAAAGGTTTGAAATTATCGTTGTCAACATTTTATGTGGACATGCCCTGGTTAAAAAACATTAACTGAAGTGCGCATTTTTTTCTGAAATACACCCTATATGGAGGACGTTCAGTATTATAAGGGATTGGTAAATATTTTTTAGGTCATAATTTTGCCTTTGTTTTTGTTTCAGAAAATAAAAAAAAATGCATTTGTACTCCACCAAAATATTTTGAGAAATTCTATAGAAATTCTATAGATTGCCAAGGCAAACTGGCTGTTGTTAATTTGATGATGTTTCAATGCTACACAATACGTATCTAGTTCATTTTAATGATGATCAACTATAAATGTCAAGGCTACGGAAGCCCTTATTTATTTCTACTTATTTGTTATTCCTTATTTGTTATTATTTAGTTGACTAAAAATGTCCCTCCAGGGCTTCCGTACAAGGCAGATACTGCTCTTAACATACCATATCATTGCAGAAAGATTTGTACTTATAATAGTTTATACAGCAATTTTATTGTTTTTATTTGACCTCGATATGTAATGGTCTTTATTTCAACTTAATAATATGTACGAATTCGTAAGTGGTATTCCACAAGGCTCGGTGCTAGGGTCATTTTTTTAAATTTTTTTATACCTTTTCGCTGTCAGAGCGAAAGATAATTAACAAGGTTGTATTATTATGCAACAGAATGTATATTTTCAAAAAAACATTATCAGAAATTTGGCAGCTACACTTCTGCCCGACAAATGTAAATTGATGCGGGTGGGAATCACAAACATTAATATACACTCAACTACACCCTGAAGGAACGTTTACCACTATTCAAATTCGGAAAAGGACATTGGAACCCCAAAAGATGATAACTAACATTTGATAAGCGCATATGCGGGAAGATTAATGAAGCAAATTTTATTATGGACATATTGCTGAGAGCAATTGAGTACCTAATTAACATCCATACTTTTTAACTGTAGTAGCTAGAGTATGCCAATCAAGTTTGGTGCCCATGGTTAGAAGAGCATTTAATAGCAATAGAAAATGTTCAACGTCAAGGGAAGAAACAAGTACCAGGACTTTCCAATTCTTAATATTACCAACATTAGGTTATAGAAAATCATGCGGTGGTGTGATAGATGTTTATAAAATTATTTCCGGGAAAAAGGAAGTCACAAAAAATATTTTCAATTAAAGAATATTCAAACACACGAAGCCATAATAGATTAAGAGTATTTGAGGTTAAATCTAAGAAACATTTTACAAAATAAGACGATATTTTCGCCAAAAAGTATACCTGTTTTTCTGAGGACTTCCTTCTTAATTCTTCGTACCGATACTATAAATATAAGTAAACATTAGCAAAACATTTTGTTGTATATCTGGTGATTTTTTTAATCACCAGATATACACTCCAAAAGGCTTTGTAATCATTTTGCTCCCGATACGTTGCCATCTTTTTGGAGCGTAACGGTATCACAATATGTGCAATTAATGTGTACTATAAATAGACGAAAAAAGAACGTACGAATCATTATGACGTCAAAAACACTGATTGTTCACCTTTCCTGACCTTTGATTCCCCGGATTATACATGTATTGTGACGTCACAAAAACAATTACGTCACTTAGTTACTTACTAATGTAAGCTTGCAAGCATTCAGCAGCATTCATCATCAATCTCTTAAACTTTGCTATATACTTCGATAATGGGGAAAACTTTGACGCAGAGACTTCAGACTGTTTTCTCCTTTTGTTCTACTCAGGTAAGATACCTTAATTTCATTCTTCTTCTTCTTTCAATTTCAAAAGTATTTTATTGACAATACATATATAATACAAACATATAAGTTAACATTAAAGAAGATATTAGAACAGTATTGACAAAAGAATAAGACAACAGGCTTTGCCTACATCTGTCTTCTTCTATTTCCGGTAGCTATGTACAATGCTTAAATATATAAAATGTTGTGATTCGTTTTCCTCTCACACTCATGCACACCCACACCCACACCCACACCAGCTTATGTCTAATACTCGTTATTTAAGGGATAAAATTTGCCTGAATAATAATAATAATAACAATACATGAATATTAATTTGGAATTTATCTACCACGTATAAGTCACGAAACGTTTTGATGATTTAATATAAGAGTCAACATGTATAAGAATAGTTTTATTTAATTGGTCGGATGCATTACTAATACCTGATACCATATACTAAACAGTGCAGATTTAAATATCCTACTAGATTATAAATAGTGGTAATATGATGCCTAATATTTGAATACAGAGGACATTGAAAGAAAAAATATATTAGATCTTCCCTCTGTACACCACATACACAGGAAGCATCATCAATCAGATGGTCTTGTAACTTATCAAAGTTAAGATCACTTTTAAAATTTCTTAGCTGACATAAAATTATGTTAAGTTTCCTCGGAACACAGTTAATAAAAGTTTCTGAGACGGTATATCAAAGATTTTTTTAAGTTTCTTTTTAAAAGTTGAAATTGAGATGGAGTCTCGTACAGTGCTATCAAGTGCATTCCATTTTACCATTGTAGAAGGGAAGAAGCTATTCATATA